TGAGCCTTGAATGCCAAGCCACAGACACAGTCCACAAACAAGAAGTTTGTGCTGCACAGTAACCATGTGTTTAGTTACAGTCATAAACTTTTGATACATCTTTTTACCGGTTGAGAAGGGTCAAGCCGGGAAAGACTCACCTTAATCCCACTCTTAATATTGGCTATGACCGAAATGATGAAAATCAGCACAAACGGACACGAGATGTCAGTCATCACTAACTTATATACAGTTTATGTTAAATATATGGTTCTAACAGTCCACATTGAGAACATAACAATAAATGTCAGTAATCAACTTATTAAATTAATTTGATGATTAAATATCTGATGGAGATAAGATAAATATATGTATATAACTTCAACTTCAAATGGTAAGTCCGCACCGCAGAAGTAAGCAAAGGCGCAACCTAAACCATTTTAGACAGACAAAATTATTCAGCACCAATCATGCCTCCTCCTGGCACCGTTCCCCGAGCCACTCCCTTCTCCGTCCCCTCTGCAGCCGAGCCAAACAACGCCCGCCCCCACATTACTTAAAGGGAATGGGTTCTGTGTATATGTGTATATATAACAAGATAAAAAAGAAGGATCATTGATGGGCAGAGACTTTTGAAAGACACACATGAGCTGTACACTCAGTGTGCGATTATAAAGTGTTCAGGCATCGGAGTTGAGGAGGGAGGTTTCTCATCAGCGGTGGAATGAGGGAATGAGCAGTGTGGCCGGGAAAGCTCCCAGAGACGGATCACCACATACCCACACACACACACACACACACACACACACACACACACACACACACACACACACACACACACACACACACACACACACACACACACACGCACGAATCACAACCCAGTGGGGTAAGTTAATTTAAGATTATTTCTTTAAAAATTGTAGAGATAATAATAATAACAATTTTTGTGGCAGTTTGTTATTTTGCCATTTGTGGGTGAAACACACACAAAAAGAAATTAAGGATAATATATTATCTGTAATGAGAAAAAGTATACAGCATATTTTAAGACATGCAAGCAATGTAATTCCAACTGTATTATCAGCCATCACAGTGGCCAAAGAAGTTTAAATATCTGGGGATATGCTTTTCAATAAGCTCAATCGTCAGTAACCAGGGGTCTGTTTTAAGTAGGAGGTTTAACAAACTCAGTCAAACCGTAAATTCTGAGTTTTGGGTTTCACAACAGCTATTTAGAGTCGGTTCAATCAACTCGGAGTAGGTTGATTCAGAGTTGAGCGCGTGTACCACCAGAATCGTCCAAAAAAGGACGTCCCATGTTTGAGAAAACACAAAAAATACACCTGATACAGAGTACTTGAATGAATGAGGAAATAAAAGTGTGCTGTGTGATTCTGGGCTGCTGTCAGACTCTACCTCGACTAAAGACTAACAAATTGTAGCACTTAAATTGTACTTGTACTTGTAACGTCACTCATCTATAGCAAATTGTAAATTGGCTTATTTGAGGAAATTGCACTTTCTTGTTTCTTGTTCTCCTGAGTTTGTACCCTATGGTTGAATGCACTTATTGTACGTCGCTTTGGATAAAAGCGTCAGCTAAATGACATGTAATGTAATGTAATGTAATGTAATGTAATGTCAGAGGGAGGAGACTGTGAAAAACCTGCTCCCAACCAGGGCCCTGTTCCTCGTACGTGGCTAACTCCACGAACGAGGAACAGGGCCCTGGATTGTCCAGAAAAGGACGTCCCATGTTTGAGAAAACACAAAAAATACACATGATACAGAGTACTTGAATGAATGAGGAAATAAAAGTGTGCTGTGGTATTCTGGGCTGCTGTCAGAGGGAGGAGACTGTGAAAAACCTGCTCCCGACCAGGGCCCTGTTCCTCGTACGTGGCTAACTCCACGAACGAGGAACAGGTTCCTCAGGAACAGGTTCCTCAGGAACAGGTTCCTCAGGAACGAGGAACAACGTTAATCTAACTGATATCGCTCCTTCATCAATGAGGAAGTGAGCTGCCCTTTTTTCCGGTGCATTGATGAACTAATCCAGCAGCTCAAATTTTTCGTTGTGTTGCTATGGTGATTTAGACAAACTTGCTTCGGGGAAACGAAAAGCCTAATCTACGTCATCTCATCCTGAAAATAATCCGGCTAACTCAGTAAACCACATACGAGAACAATAAATATCAGTAATCAACTTATTAAATTAATTTGATGATTAAATATCTGATGGAGAAAAGATAAATATATGTATATAACTTCAACTTCAAATGGTAAGTCCGCACCGCAGAAGTAAGCAAAGGCGCAACCTAAACCATTTTAGACAGACAAAATTATTCAGCACCAGAGAGTATTTTTGTTACTTGTGACAGGTTCGTCCTAACACACACTCACCTGAGGCCAATCATGCCTCCTCTTGGCACCGTTCCCCGAGCCACTCCCTTCTCCGCCCCCTCTGCAGCCGAGCCAAACAGCGCCCGCCACCACATTACTTAACGGGAATGGGTTTTGTGTATATGGGAAATACACATGGGAAAGCTCCCAGAGACGGATCACCACTTAGCCACACACACACACACACACACACGCACGAATCACAACCCAGTGGGGTAAGTTAATTTAAGATTATTTCTTTAAAAATTGTAGAGATAATAATAATAACAATTTTTGTGGCAGTTTGTTATTTTGCCATTTGTGGGTGAAACACACACACAAAGAAATTAAGGATAATATATTATCTGTAATGAGAAAAAGTATACAGCATATTTTAAGACATGCAAGCAATGTAATTCCAACTGTATTATCAGCCATCACAGTGGCCAAAGAAGTTTAAATATCTGTGGATATGCTTTTCAATAAGCTCAATCGTCAGTAACCAGGGGTCTGTTTTAAGTAGGAGGTTTAACAAACTCAGTCAAACCGTAAATTCTGAGTTTTGGGTTTCACAACAGCTATTTAGAGTCGGTTCAATCAACTCGGAGTAGGTTGATTCAGAGTTGAGCGCGTGTACCACCAGAATCGTCCAAAAAAGGACGTCCCATGTTTGAGAAAACACAAAAAATACACCTGATACAGAGTACTTGAATGAATGAGGAAATAAAAGTGTGCTGTGTGATTCTGGGCTGCTGTCAGACTCTACCTCGACTAAAGACTAACAAATTGTAGCACTTAAATTGTACTTGTACTTGTAACGTCACTCATCTATAGCAAATTGTAAATTGGCTTATTTGAGGAAATTGCACTTTCTTGTTTCTTGTTCTCCTGAGTTTGTACCCTATGGTTGAATGCACTTATTGTACGTCGCTTTGGATAAAAGCGTCAGCTAAATGACATGTAATGTAATGTAATGTAATGTAATGTCAGAGGGAGGAGACTGTGAAAAACCTGCTCCCAACCAGGGCCCTGTTCCTCGTACGTGGCTAACTCCACGAACGAGGAACAGGGCCCTGGATTGTCCAGAAAAGGACGTCCCATGTTTGAGAAAACACAAAAAATACACATGATACAGAGTACTTGAATGAATGAGGAAATAAAAGTGTGCTGTGGTATTCTGGGCTGCTGTCAGAGGGAGGAGACTGTGAAAAACCTGCTCCCGACCAGGGCCCTGTTCCTCGTACGTGGCTAACTCCACGAACGAGGAACAGGTTCCTCAGGAACAGGTTCCTCAGGAACAGGTTCCTCAGGAACGAGGAACAACGTTAATCTAACTGATATCGCTCCTTCATCAATGAGGAAGTGAGCTGCCCTTTTTTCCGGTGCATTGATGAACTAATCCAGCAGCTCAAATTTTTCGTTGTGTTGCTATGGTGATTTAGACAAACTTGCTTCGGGGAAACGAAAAGCCTAATCTACGTCATCTCATCCTGAAAATAATCCGGCTAACTCAGTAAACCACATACGAGCAACAGGGCCCAGGTCAGGTTCACAGGCTCAGTTACCATAGTGACTGACCCTGAGCTTTAGTTACCTCCCTTCATGAAACAGACAACTCATAATAATTTGTAAAAGGAGAAGAGGAAGAGCAGCAACATCACAGCAGTACAGGGTTGTTATTGTCATTTTTGGCCAGAGATGATTTATTGTAGAGTGTTATTACACTTGGCAGGAATGATCTCCTGTATCGGTCCTCCTTCAGCTCCGCTGTCACAAGGACCGATACAGGAGATCATTCCTGCCCAGGGCAATAACACTTTACTTCCTCTTCTCCTTTTACAAATTATGTCAGGGAGCCTTTATGTGGCCCACTAATGGCCTGATGTCTCTCAGGTGGCGCTGCTCCAGGTGAAATCACCTGAGAGAATTGCCCCCGCCCTCTCAGGACGGGGCGGAGTCACGTCGGGGGACGTAACAGGCTTATGTAAAATCGTTTCTTGAAACGTTTTTTATTCAAGAGGAATGAAGCTAATTCAACCCCTGGCCAGAAGTACACCTGTAATGTTGAATCAAACAATTTTTTGCAGATACAGTGTAAGTACTATATAATAGAAAGAGGTTGCACGTTGCAGTGTGTCTATTTTTATTTGTTTTTTCTCAGATATACATTACTTGGCTTATTTATTAAACTAAGATAATCAATTGGCTAAAGAACAGATGTATTTATGCCTTTTTAAAATCTTATTTCCAGGGTTGATGACATATGGAGTGACGAATCTTCCTGGACACAAAATGAGAGGAACTTAAATGAACTTTGTCAAACATCACGCCATAAACACAACGTATAGCCCTGCTGATCCTGCTGGTCACAGAATTAGGCGATAACTCCAAAATCCTCTAAACAGTACCACTGGACAACGCCTGGATCAGACTTTTCAAGCTACGGTTCCGGATTTTTATTATTCTTAACATAAGATAAAAACCTCTGAGCAGTGCATTCAAGTGTATTAATTAATTGGTGATTAGGTGGCCTGTATCTTTTTAGACATATAATATTTCCTAGACATCAGAACATTAATCAGTGACTCAAGAAAACTATAAGGACTGAGTGCAGCTTGACTATAGTTTAGAATAGTTTCAGTTGTCAAGGTCCTTCTCTTAAGAAATGCGTTTAACCGAAAAAAACTGGCTGCTGATTCTGGTAATTGTTGGACTGATTTTACTAGGGATACTTTTCCCGCTAAATCACCTGGATTTAAAATCGGGTCCTATACGCAATCGCAGCTACAGCTGGTTGAATTATGAAGCTGCTGATGGCGGCCCAGAGAATCAGTGCGACTGTGCAGCAATTTTGCAGGGCGACAGTGAGGCACTGCAGAAGGCCAAAACACTGACCATCACTAAAGACTTCCAAAAGAGTATTAAGATCCCCAATGAATATTACATCAGCGCAAGCCAAGACTGCAAGTAGGTTTCTTTAAACTACAACTATCAGTAAAAGACTGTAAACAATCTTTTAATGTACTGGATTTGACAGAAATCAATATTTGTTCAATCTTTTCAGGACCTTCAAGGCAAACAGAAAATATGTAACGTTTCCATTGAGCCGCGTCGAAGAGGACTTCCCCTTAGCTTACTCCGTGGTTGTTCATCATAAGGTATGTCGCCAAGATTTGAATTCAATCAGGACAAGTTTAAATAACTTTGAAAACAGTTTAGTTGGTTTCAAGGAGGTGATGCAGGAATGATTCCAAAAACCCACAAGTGAGTTAAAATTTTTGCTCTTCCAGTTCCCTCGTCTCTAAGTCAATGGGTTCTGGGGTTAGATGAGTTAAACACAAGCTTATGATACATAAAAGTTTTACTTTTATGATATGAATTACGTCGGTATATCCTCCTCTTAATAGCTTTGTTTTTTCATTCACTCTAGGTGCAGAACTTTGAGCGACTACTACGAGCCATCTATGCACCCCAAAATATTTATTGCATCCATGTAGACCAAAAATCAGATGCCTCAGTCTACTCTGCCATCAGTGCCATAACCTCCTGTTTCCCAAATGTCTTTATGGTCAGTCAGAGGGTGGATGTGGTCTATGCTGCTTGGTCACGTGTCCAGGCTGATATTAACTGTATGGCTGATCTCTATAACGCTACAACAAAATGGAAATACTTCATCAACCTTTGTGGCCAGGATTTCCCTCTGAAAACCAATTTGGAGATTGTGAATGCATTGCTATCATTGGGGGGCGACAACAGCATGGAGTCAGAAAAAATGTCTGAAAACAAGAGGAATAGAGTCACACATGTTCATAAGATAGTTAATGGACAAAACCAGGTAAAGGATTACAACAAGATTTTTTTACATTGCAATACATGGCTTAAATCTTTCATTGCAACTTTTTATTCAGATCAACATTAATGACCATCACGGTCACATTACCTGACCACTTTACCTGTCTCAGCCAACAGGAAATTTAAAGGGGCCACCTCCCTCCAACCTGCCCATTCTGACAGGAAGTGCCTACATCGTGGTTAACCGAGGCTACGTCCGCAGTGTATTGGAGGACAACCGTATACCGGCATTGATCGAATGGGCCAAAGACACCTTTGTTCCTGATGAACTATTCTGGGCGACCATTCAACGACTCCCCGGGGTTCCTGGCTCTAAGAGGCCCCATCCTAAATACGACATGACAGACATGAACGCGATAGTACGGCTGGTGAAGTGGCAGGAACATGAGGGAGAAGTGTACCCAGAATGTCACGGCCACCATGTCAGGAGTGTTTGTGTGTATGGTTTTGGAGACGTGCAGTGGCTGCTTCAACAGCATCATCTCTTTGCCAATAAGTTTGACACAGAAATAGATCCTATTGCCGTCTACTGCTTGGAGAAGTATCTAAGAAAAAAGGCACTAGCTCAGTTATTTTAGGTGTGTTGGACTTTTTACTAGAAGCCAAGAATACTTGAAATTGGCTGTTTGGGTCATGGGTAATTAGATAACTGTTAAACTAATTTCATTTTGTTTACATGGGTCTATAGGTATTCATTCCTTGTAAATACAACTGTTTTTAGCTGGGGGAAAGTGAAAAAGGAAAACTACAGCAATGAGACTAAGCCTTAACATAAGATATACAATTTAATTTGATAAAAAAAGACATGTATTTTAAAAGTGTTTGTTGTCAATGAAGCTAAATTGCTTGCACCATTATTCACCAATATGTGCAGGTTTTTGTTGTGTCATGTAGCTTGGGGTTGGTTTAGTTTGGTAGGTTTTCTCATGTGCTTTTAGTCTGTCTTCTGTGCTATGTGAGTATGCAAGAATAATAAATCGCTAAATGTTGAATAATTTGTCATCCGTTGGTGCAACCAGCTCGGTAACATGGGCACTTGGGTTCCAGATAACCGTTGAGGAAGAGCACATCTTTAATGATTTCACAACAAATTAATTTCTTGCAAGCCACCAATATAAGAATATAAATGTACAAATAAGAACTAATGAAAGGGGACACATTTAAATCAAGGCTCTCTCTGGACTGTACCTCTCTAGCAGTCAACATTTAGATTTTATTATGAGGCCTAACAATCTCACACACGCGATCAAGAGAAGAACTATGACTAAAATGACATAACTTTGCTTTTAGGCGGGTAATAGAATCAGACAGATGATGAATAAACATGCAACACATTACTGAAACTACTGATAACTCCGGTGGCCCTCGGTGCCCAACAACTGTAAAATAGGTAAATCCGTGCAAATATACACAACATAAGCAAATACAAAAAACTGTGATGAAATTTGCATCTCGTTTTCTTTTTCTTTCTGTATTTGCATGTATAGTCTTTCAGCGAGTTGGAGTGAGTTGAGCTCTCAGGAACATCATAAAGACCTTTTTTCAACCTTTATGATTTATGTTTACAACTCTTTTCACAGTGTTAAGGCAACAGCCAAACATTTATTACACAATGACATGAGCCCCCCACACCATAGGGAAGTAGTTATACAACTTAGGTTTGCATGTGTTTGGTTATTAGGTGAAAGAGTCTCGAGCCACACTTATGATCATCCCGGGTTACAAAAGGTAAACATGGCAACTGACTAGTGTGTAGAATAATACAAGAATGTAACAAACCTAGTTAGTAGTTGGTCCTAAGTAGATTACATAAGAATCAAAGTATTGTTCAATGAAAGAATAATTAAAAGAATACAAAACTAACAGATTTGGGAACATTACCAAGTGCTTTGTAATGTACAGTAATACAGGGTAAAGCATCTAACCTTACGCACAGTGGTAGTGTCTACACTATAAATACAGTATTAAGTTAAGCACCCTCAGGTTTTTACTTTCCTCAATTAACAAGCAACTTCCTGATGTTTTGTACCACAGCATTTATGCTTTAGAAACCATTGCTAGTTGTGCGTGTAACAACCATGAGCCGTACACATCATGCTGCAGTGTGGTTTGTATTCAGAGGCTGGGGTAGAGGATGGCATAATACGGGGAGAGAATAGGCGGCCAGGTGTCTTGGAACAGTCAAACCAAAGAGTTTCCCCTCTTGTCGGCTCTGAGCGAGAGAAAAAAGATGAGAAAAATAATTGAGCAACATCTTTGCCATCGGGGCATTAGAATCAAACATTTAAAGCAGAAAGCTTGCCAATGAAAATTATACGATGTATGAGAAATTAAAACAACTATTAGATCATAATATTCATGCCTCTGTCTTTAGCAGATTTCAGGACCGTAATGAAAATGGGACATGCAATACACCTATTGACATTCAATCTATACTGTTGACTGCAGCAGTTTAATGTCAATGTAATGAGAGTTTCTCTTGCAAATCAGTGCTTGTGTGCAGTTACGTCCTAACTAATCAGTACGTTAGAACAACCCCCCTCTGTTCAGTTAGCTGGATATAATATTAGGCCCGTCAGGTTATTCTGCAATGGAAAGATGCAGGAATGCAAACATCTACAGGACATTTTTAACATTTTACAACACTATTGGACAAACTAATTTAGACATTTGCCAAAGCATTTATGTGCAAAGCCTAATTATCTCTGAAAGGTCAGAGTGCTGCTTGTTTTGGCCAATGCTGTTTTCAAAATACTATTGAATATTGGGGAAAGTGTATGTAAAAATTACTAGCTGACAGAGAACAATGTCCCTCTACTTACTGAACTGAAGAATCTTGCAATTCTGTGTCCAATCTGGTGTAGCATTGTGTTAGAGGGTAGAGAGCAAAGGTTGGTTAGGGAGGTAAACATGAGACAGAGGACGACGATATTGTCAGTAAGCATGCAGTTAATGGGGATTAGCAGCCTGAAATGTCCACACAGTCATAAGTGGATGTATAGAAGGAAAGGGAAATAAGCATTAGTGCTCTAAAGGGTGTGTTCAAGGTCAATGGAGTGAGCCATAGATGCACTGCATCATTTCTCAAAAACTAACTGGTCTATAGAGCTCACATTTCAGTCGGTTTAACACTCAAGGTCAGTAGTATGTATACTCAAAACATGGCTAAGATAATGGATAGGGTTAATAGATATAGCTGAATAGAAAGTAATCATGGAAACATCAAATCATGTGGCATATTTTTGGGGGGATTTCTATTTTCTACAGAGACTGCGGAAGTTTGTTTAAATTCCCCTGACAAGTAGCTTGTAAAAATGTTCATAACAAAGAAGTGCAACATTCTAAAAGAGGGCAGAAGGTTATGACAGCTACGGCTTACCCAACTCGTTTTAGATATTTCTACAACTTGGTCATGCCTTAAAGACACAAGTAATATTTCTAATGGTACTATACGTTGTTGGTATCAACAGATACAGTGCGGAGAACAAGTATTTGATACACTGCTGGGACCACAGTCTCAAAGAAAACCATTAGTAATTCACAACGCCGTCATGGATTAAAATCCTTCAGCGCACGCAAGCTCAATGTCAAGGCCCGTCTTTACCAATGGCCAGCTGGATGATACAGGAAACGTAAGATGTCTGTATTTGCAAACAAAGGTTTCTGTACCAAATATTAAGTTCGGCTTTTCCGATTAATTAACTGCAAATAAAAAAAAAATCATTTTTTGGGATTTGGATTTCCTGGATTTGTTTTAGATTCCGTCACTCAGTACCAGTATCTCAGTATAATACAAATTACAGACTCCTACATGCTTTGTAAGTGGGAAAATCTGCAAAATCGTCAGTGTATCAAATACTGGTTCTTCCCACTGTACATGAGAAAGCCGGCCTACTATAAATTGCAATTAAATCCCATTACAAACCATCAGACCTGCCTAGCTTGGGGAGCACAGTTGTTAATTAGATTTTTACAAAATAGGACAGATGAGAGGTGAAATTAACCGCTTCCCAGACTGAGATACGTAAAACATTCAATATGTGTCTCTTTTTATGTTGGATAAGAAGAAAGCCAAAGATCAATGCAGAGTCAATCCCAACACGAGAGAGTTTAAAATAGTGTTGATTTTCAGGGAGACTGATTAACTGATTAATACAGGCAGGTTAGATGATTTACCTCAAACATGCAAATTTGTGTATACCCCTCTCCTCGTCATACCTTGGGGCAGAGTGAGAGATCTTTTAGTCAACAAACAGCTGCTGGCTACAAACTACTCTATGTATTTGACAAACAGCTTTGTGTTATTATTTTCCCCTTGTGTGGAGGCAAAAAGTGGTGTGTGTGTGTGTGTGTGTGTATATATGTGTACACATACATACATACATACATATATGTATATATATATATATAGATGCACACTACTCAAGAAAACACAAAACACACCAGATCTCAATGTGAATTATCTTGGATATCTATACTGACAGACAGTTTAATGTCAGGAACCAAAGGATCCCACATCTTTTGATGGAAATAAAATATTACTACAGATGGCTTAATTTCATAGACACTCTATGGCAGGCTCGTCCATTCTGCCAAAATTAAATTTCTGCACCTCAAAATGCTTCTCAATTCCTTCATCCTCCAGCTACTGCCTGCATACTCTTGCCACGTCTTGCCACGTGTTGTGCATCAGGAGGAACCCAGGACCTACTGCACCAGCGATGGGGGTGACCATGGGTTCAAGGATTTCATCCCGATACCTAATGGCAGTAAGACTGCCGTTCTCTAGCCTATAAAGGTCTGTGCGTCCCACCGTGGATGCGTCTCCCCTCTCTCCATCGCTGACACACCATCAAAGCGGTCATGCTGAACAATGTTGCAGGCAGCGTAGCATTCTCCTTGGCTTCTCCGGACAATTTCACATCTATCACAGGTGCTCATGGTGAACCTGCTCTCATCTGTGAAAAGTACAGGGCACCAGTGCCAATTCTGGCGTTATATAGCAAATGCCAATCGAGCTCCACGGTGCTGGGCAGTGAGCAGAGGACAAACCGCAGGATGTTGCGCCCTGAGGCCACCCTCATGAAATGATCTGTTTCTGATTTTTTGGGCAGAGACGTTCACACCAGTGGCCTGCTGGAGGTCATTCTGTAGGGCTCGGGCAGTGCTCAACCTGTTCCTCCTCGCACAAAGCAGCAGATATCGGTCCTCCTGATGGATTGAGGACCTTCTACGGGCCTGCCCAACGCTCCTCGAATCTCCTCCATGTTCTGGAGATTGTGCTGGGAAACATCAAATCTCCTTGCAACGGCACGTATGATTGTGAATGATCTGTGCAAATTCTGTAGGGCTAAGGAATGGCCTCATGATCCCAGTGACTAGCTAAAGCCAAACCAGTCAAGAGAGCAGACCTGACCAGATCCATATCAAGTGTATATCAAGTGTCAATTGAAATAATGCTGTACCCTAATAAAAGATTATTCCTTTGATTTTTTCACCACCATGTCAAATTCCTTGTATGTTTAAAGTGTATTTTGGGAATAAATGTTCCTGATTCCTGATTTGTGATTCCTTGAGCAGTGTATAGTCATGTGTTACACATTAAATCAAGCTGACTCACTTTACAATGCTGGTGGGAATGTGCACAAACTCCATTGGGATGGTTTCTCCAAGCTCCTGCAGGCTGTTCACATACTTGATCTTACTACAGAACTTTGAGCTGTAGAAAACAGAAGTGATTAAGTTTTATTAGAGTGATGTGTACTTGACATATGTGCTCCAGCCGACTATTGTAATGAAATAGTCCTCTGTGAATTAGTTAGGGCTGTAAAGTTTTATTTTGATTTGTAGTGGTGTCAAGTTCAAATATATATATATATATATATATATAAATATATGCACATATATGGGGATAGCGAAAAGTGTATCTGGGAAACTGGGATACTGTTGTTAGAACATACTGGTGGAGTGCATGGATACAGTTATTAGTGGCATTAAGATTGCATGTTTGCATTTACTGAAATTAAAACCTCTCTTGTGCTGTACATCCCTTCCTGTGTGCATCATATAAATACTACAGTAAGTACAGAAAGGATACCTTATGAAGGGTCTGGTGATTCCTAGCAAAGTCCGTATGAACCAGGACGGATGGACAATGATGAACAGCTTAAGATTTTTCTTCAGTCTGTGGAGCAAGATGAGAGGCAGAAGTGGTGAAAAACAATTTATAACAACTTCCTTTACAACGTATTACTTATTAACTTATCAAGTTAATTACTAAATATTATTACAGTTTAGAATATGAGTAGAAAGACTGATTGGACATGGACATGGTTTTTCACTGCAAAGTTGCTACACTACTTTCTGTTAGCAATCCCACAATACAATGTGCTGATTTTCTAGATCTGCCAAAATTGTCATCATCAGGAATGACTCAAAATAATGGTTCATGAGGTTCCATAAATCTTAATTTACTCACTTGTGAATAAAGTGAAAGTCCTATAGGGTGTGAATGAGTGAACCAGGCAGAGACTATTGAGACAGCATATAGTGACATCATGGGAGAAAGTTAAAACTGAAGTCGTCACAATTTTTTTGTTGAGCATTGGTGCATTTGTTTATTCAAGTCAGATAGATGGCAACGTATCACAGATATGCCTCCAATTGGACTACCTATGAACCTCAAACAAGAAGGAACACTACTTATGTCCAAAAGATGACTTATGGCTTCAGGTCTAACTATTTCTTGCATCACCGTGAAGTCTTATTGAATAAACGCAATTGAGTCGGCGTGCATACTTCTATTGGTATGAACTCCTTTATTCATATGAATACATCTTTCTAAAATGCATCATTACTGATGCATTAAACAATAAACCTAGTAACTATGATATAATAGCTATATGATACATAAGCCAAACCATGGCCCAATGTTATGAGATCTCGGTAAGAAAAAAACCATTACTACTATCGCGATTAGAGACAGGGACTTTTACAAGGAATCCAAACATTGTGGAGAGAGCCAATCTGTTAGTTTTCAGTTTTGTTTATCAGTGAATATTACCTTCTGTCTATCATTTGGTAGCATTTTTTCATCCAGGTAAAGCCGGGCATCCTCCTACGAGGTGTGGCGCCATTCAGGTAAACAATCATGTAGTCTTCTGCCACCATCAATTCCAGCGTACTTATCACATATCTAAACAGGAGGAAAAAACAGCTATGTAGACATAATCTGAAACAGCCCAACGCTTACATGCACCAAAAAGGTCTGTCTAATCTAGGTGTGGAGGAACGTGACTGGCTTGACCTCAACCCCGGTTGACACATTTGGGATAAATTTTAACAAAAAAAGTCAGCCGGGCCTTATTCAGGATAATAGCAGCCTGGATCCACACTCTTCTTCAATGGGAAGGTCGCTAATGCAGCATATTAATGAAAGCCTATGGTCCTGGTCTATTTACATGTCCACAGATATTTGATAATGTAGCTTTACTCACAGAAAAAGGTTTTCCATTACATAATTGTAATTGTCACAGTTGCTGTCTGGTAGAAAGCATGCTGCAAACACGACGATGGCATTCTGTTCAGCGTAATAACCTGAAAACATAAACACAAAGAAACACAGTTGTTTCACTTCCACTGCATATGCACATACCAGTGCTTTTGTTTTCGATCCACCAACAATCCACCTTCACCTACTGCAAAAATATATAAAATGAGGAAGTGCAGGGCGGAGCTTAAGTTTCCAAAGAAAAATATTTGGGAATAAGAGAGTGAACAAGTCAAGTTAACATTGGGTTGGATTTGACTTATTGTTAGTTCATTGTTTCATTTGTGTAACGGGGGAGAAAAGACAGTAGGCGTGACAACGCAATGACAATTTGAAACAGGACAAAAATCAGATGGTTAATGCAACAAATAAACAAGGAATATCAAGAACGAGCAGATAACAAAATGATTAATAGTAATAAACCATACAGGAGAAACAGGTGTGTATGGATACATCCTTTGTATCTGCCTACCTCCATGAGAAATGACCCTTTTGTAGGACTCAATGCACTTCATGTCAATGCGATGCTCCTGCTCTCCAATCACCACACTTCTCCACAGCTTGTCTTCTCTGCTCTCCTCAGCTGCGGTGTGTCCTGCAATGGCATCCTCTACTGCTGCTCCTTCTCCTAGATGAGACTTTTCTGACTCCCCTGTTTGTGCCATAAAGATTTTACCAGACAACATAACAACACAGCTACAAACAGCTATAACATTTTGTTCACAATGTTCGCATTCACTGCAAGTGTGTGTCTGACCGTGTTCGTTGAACTCCAACAAATCTGCCTCGTCAGGTGTGTCCAGCTCATCTACGCTGACATCCAGGTCATCCCCAGTATCCAACGCCTCATCCTCTGTGTCCGGGGCATCTTCTGAGATGAGAGACCCCTCGCTGCGGTCCAGTGACACATTCATTGGCGGAGCTGTCAACTTTCTCCTATGGTTGGATCCGCCTGACAGATCCGCAGAAGATGGTGGGTCTGGTCAAAGAGAGACGGTTTCATTGTTTTTATGAACATGGACAAAATTATTTTACCTTAATTTTACGTTTTTTGTTTGGCAGCTGCTGCTGCCAGTCATTTGATTTTACATGATTTGAATGTAATTTAAGAAAACAAATACTCTAATAATTACAGTATTTCTCATGTAAAAAATAAGAAAAAAAGTACTTTGTCATTATTAGCATAATACCTACATTTACAGTTGGACTGTTCCTTTACATATAATATCTTTATTTTTACAAAGTTTTGTACATAATGTAAAAAAACAGAAAAACTACTGTAAAAATGTTATGTTATTTTCTGTAAAATTAGTTGTTTTTTTTTTTACAGTGTAGGCCTCTTAACTCGTAAGAATTATTTGACTGCTAAAATCCCTCAAACCCACACCATTGAATACTGTCTTTTTTATATTTACCTTCTATGTTATACATCTTCTCTGCAGCTTCCTCACTGGAGGGAATCTTCATCATCATCCTTGCTGCACGTTCTCCCTGTTGGGAATGTCTACTTAGAGGCACAGAAACACAATAATGAGCAACAACATAAATCATCATCGCTATTGCCATGGCAACCATAGGCACAACTACGCATAGTATTGGGCCAAACAGGCCAAAGACGACCATCTACAAAGAAAAAATAATCAAACTTTTTCCATGACATAGAAAAAGGAAGTGTTTTAAATCTGTTCATTTGACTTTGTGGATAAAAGATTACAGAAGCAGACGTACGGAGAGCAACTCACTGCTTCGTTCCCAGGCTCCACGTGTGGGCTGAGGAAACAATACTGAGCAGTGTTGCTCCCGCCCCCCCACCAAAGCCCCTCTAACCGCCTCTGATTAACATGAGGGCTGCTAACAATAGAGGGAAGCATTACCGAGAAACCGGCACACGTGATTACAGAAACAAAGACGGTCACATGTTTTTTTTTTGTTTTTCTTTTAAGAACAAATCTCTCTCTGAGGACACCCACCTTACCCTCACCCTCTTTTTGACCCTCACAGACAGACTGAACCACATTAACCCAATGAAGTCACCAATTGGTTATGAAAAGGTCTGCTGTGTATGCATGCAAACACACAGAGTGAAAGAGAGGGGAGTGTTGGGCATCCCAAAGAGGGGGGAGGTCATCAGAATTACAAAGTGGGGCTAAACAAGTATGCCTATGATGCCGCTGCTGAACATTTACGTTGCAGTGTATATATTATACAGTAAATACATACTTATATAAAAACACTGGTCACCAATTCCAAAACTTTTGATTGAGACAAAATACTCATCTTGGATAAGAGAAAAGAGAATAGACTGGACTGGTGGTACTGACAAGGTGGTCGACTCGTTGTACTGGGACAACGCTGCTAACGTGCGACATTCACACAACGTGTTTTGGTACGTAACACTGAATGGAAACGGAAAGTTTGTTTAAATGAAAACTAAACAAGCTTCCTTTCAATACATAAAAAAACACAGAATTACTACTGCTTCACTTACAGTATATTTAAACCATCATAAAAAAACAAACAAACAATAAAGACTAAAATATATAATTATATATTTTTCACAAATGTAAATTTGAAGCTACCTGGCCAAACTTTTATTGTCTGATGTATCAGATATTATCTCTGCACACACTTACACACAAGCTTGCACGTGAATGCGTGAGAGAGCTAGGAGCTGTTTCCATTAGCTGTGGTGGGGCTCCAGCTCTAATGAGGCAGGTAATGCATATTTAATGAGGCGTAAACAGATTTATAAACCTAAACACACAGGACCGCAGATCAAAGCTTGCTACCAAACAGATGAAATACACATACAAATGTTGTCTCTTTCTCTCACACACACCTACACACCCCCACACCCCCAGACACACACACACGCACACACACATGCTGCTCATGAGACTCAATTACTCAGGTGGGCTTCTTTTTCTAAATTTCAAGCCTGTTTGACGATGATAATATTCCTCTGGCATAAAGACTGAAAACAGAAAATGACGGGATGGTGAGGGGAAGCGTGTTTGGTTCATGCATATGCATGCGTGTTCAGAGGAGGCTGGTCCATAGAGGCAGAAGAAGTTGTCCTGCTCTATTTTTGAGAGGCAATAGGTGGATCAGAATACAATTATCTGGTTGAATTAAACCATAAAACAAAATATGTACACACATGTTTCATCAACTGTTTTAGCCAGCTGCTTGTGTTAGCCGATGCAACAATTAACTGGAAGGACATCTCAGGAATGAAGTAGAGTAAAGTTGTTCATGTTTTTATTTCTTACATTTTGGGTTACCAAACTTTTAAGATTAGTACATTGTCTAATAACTGCAAATGTGACAGAAGTAAAATTGCAAATGAGCGTAAGATACAAGATTTGAGGAGCATTGATTACCTTAAGAGGGTTGAATAGCTGTCTTGTGAAGATTCATGGTCTCCAATCTGTTGTTCAGTCGACCATTTATCATAACCAGCAGTCATTATAGGTTGTCCATAACAGTAATCCACTGTATTCTGTAAGTATCCATCCCACTTTGGCTCAAGTATTTGTAAATGCAAATCCTGTTGTTGAAATGAAGAATCTTCTATCAGCTGCTCAGTGAAACTTAGCAGATCAGAGGATCCTAACGGTTGCCTTTCTTCTCTATCGCTTTGTATCTCTGAAGTCCATTTTGAATGGGAAATACGCTCTGAATCAGATCCCTCTTCATGCTCTTCCTCATCGTTCTTTTCTTCCATCAAATCTCCAGAAAATGGTAATCCCAGTTCTCTGTCAGCAAAAATAACAGAATTACTTAATGGGGTGCCAATGAAGGAGCTTGTGTGGGAGACTGAGCTGTGGGTAAGTTGAGGTGACTGCGGTTCAGGTGATTGCGGTTCAGATGTTACCGCGTTCTGACTCGTTAACTGAACCTCCCAAACTTGAAAGTCACCCAAAGACGGAGGTGCCGAGGGCGATTGCCCACCCTCATCTGAATCTTCCATCGAGATTTGTGAATGGACATAAACCTCCTCTCTGGTTTTCAGGAAATGATCTGACGGATATCTTAAGGATGGAGACACACTTCTGGCCACAATTTTTGATTCATCCTCAAGGTTTACTTCTTTTACCTGAGTTTGACTGCAACCCGGGCTCGAATCTGACTGTTGAAAAGTTTCGTAGTTATTTTGTGATTGGTAATGAGCACATGAAACAGCTTGACTGTGCTCTGTAACTTTGCTTACACTGTCAGAACTTCTGATGATTTCGTTCCGCGTTCTTTCTGTGTTCCCCTGGCGCTCTCCATCTTCCACCCGAGCCTGGCTTTGCAGCACTGTGGCAGCGTAGGAAAGCATGCTAAACGTCTCCATGGACTTTCTTGCAGCTTTTGAATGCCTGTCAGGCTGTTTCGGCCTACCGTGCCACTCCCTGTCAGTTTCTTTTACTGTGCCAGACACAATGATGTAATCCATTTCTAGGCCTGATGATGAATCTCCATCAGAATTGGACCTGAGTTCGTCTCGACTAGCTGGGTGAAGGCTGTCGGGGCTATACTTCAGCGTGTCTCTATCCCCTCCGGAGCTGGAGTTGAGAGACATTGTTTCTGAGGTTTTACACGGCTCTTTTCTACTTCTCTCATCGTCCGGACCACCGTGGCTTTCAGGAACAGGCACGTCTTCATTGTGGGCCATTGTCGACGACAGGACAGGCTTATTGGAGACAGGATCACCCCACTCAATGAGGCTTGGGGATAAAGATTGGTCCGGCTGGATTTCAGCTTCACCAGCTTCTCGTAGACTTGAAGAGCAATGATGGGCTGAAGTGGTCCGAGTGACAGTAGAGTTGTCCACCAGAACAAATGGTGAATGATCACTGAGTTGCTCTATCCAATCAGCTTCCTCTGAATGTTTGTTATCGTAATTGCTCTCAATTGAACATACCCCACTGCTGATCATGTGACCCAGCTCACTACTTCCATCAAATTGGAAGATCTGGTTGGTTGGCTGTTCTTTATCTTTGTCTTCAGTCTTTCCCAGAGGATCATCCTTCTGGTATTGATTGTGACCCTTGTCTATCTGAGTTGGTTTTGTCACAGCGAAAAAAGGGCTATACTGCTCCTCTAGCTGTAACATGTCTGCTACCGGGCTTGCATACGTCTCAGGGGACGATGTCAGGCTCCAAGTACCAGCTCCTACATTGTCATATTCTGAAGTAGAGGCGACCATGCCGGGAACCGGTAGGCCCCCCATGTCAGCGCCCTGGTAAGGGGAGTTTACCTCTTCTAAGTGGTCGGATACCAAGTTCTGCAAGACAGACTGTTGGCCTTGAAAACACTGTATGTCGTTGTCAGCCGTTTCTTCACCATGTGTTCCTCCCTCTGCCGCCTCTATGACTATTCTCACGTTGTGTTCATAACCTCCCCACCCTGCTGCTGGAGGCGTCTCCTCTCCTCCGGGCTGCTCTTCCTCTACCTGTTTGCTTGCATGTGTCTCAAGAGAATCACTTACGTCCATTGATCCCATTTGACTGAGCTCTTTTCCGTTTTCAGGTCTTTCGGGGCTTGTTATTGTGGAGGAGCTGTCTTCCTGTATGGTGGTGTTCCACATCACCATTCCACCATCAGGTAATTCTTGCGGACTTTCCACAGATGCTCCAGCCTCAACATCGAGGTTCATCCCACAGAAAGACCCCGAGGTTCCAGACAAGTTGTCGGGGGTTGTGAGAGGTGATAGACTGTCATCTCGGATTGTCATGTTCCACATATCTAGCGATTCGGGGTAAGATGTGGTGGTTCCGCTATCTGATTTGAGAAATCCCTTCTGAGCCGAGTACGTCCAGAAGTCGAGGAGCTCCATTTGTCCATCTGCTTTTTTCCCATCTCCTCCTTCATCCTCTTCTTTCGATGTGTCTGGCGTTAAAGTGTTTATGATTGCTCTCTTCCTCGACAACGAGGACTCCTTGATTCTAGCCTTAGACTTTCCAGTTACTTCCTCCTCTGGTGGTGTCAATTGCAAATAAGCCAAAGTAGCGGGGTTCCATTGATCCTTACATATTGAGTCTGGGTTCCAGGTGTCATATGATTTAGTTTGCTCAGTGATCAGACTAAGCTGGGGCTCTAGGATCTTTGCCGTCTGGTGGACATTCTCTGACTTTAAGAGTTCTTCTCTGCTTTCTTGCTGTGTAATATGATAATGAGACTCTTGCCCTCTGACCTGCTCCACTACATTCCCAGGACTCTCAGATTCCCTGGTCCTATTCCAGCAGTTATTATCACTTGACGACGATGCTCCTTGTGTGTCAAAGCCGAGTTCATCCCAGGTCTCTGACAGCGATGATGAAACACTGTCCTTGTGCTGCAGGCCGTTGATCCTCTCAACCACATCTTCTGGAAAGAACCTGGCCCCGCAACTGCTGAGTGGGCGACTACCTACCACACTGTTGACTGGGGTCGGAGGAACCACTGTTTCAATCATGTCATTCACATGCCGTTGGTCAATTAGAGAATTGCTGCTGTCGAGCATGCCGAGTGAATTGGGAGTAGAGAAATCTAGCAAGCTCAGCTCCCGAAGTTCCGATAAGCCAGAGCTTCCTGCTTGTCTTTCTTCTTCATCTCCTCCTACTCCAGAAATGACAAACCCCCCTCTTGCCGTCATAGAGTGATCACTGCTATGCAGTGGGTCAAAACTAAAAAGGTCAAAGTTGTCACTCTTATTTCTGCCAGAGCATGTCTTCCCCCTCTCAGGTGGAGCGGGAGGGGAGAGGGAGGTCAATCCAAGAGGAGAGGGGTTTCTCAGGAAGGCTCCAGCCGGCCCTCCTCCCGCGATGACGTCACCAACTGAGCTGTCATCACTGAGAAACACCGAACTCTCCTTGGAGGAGCGGTCGCTGCGGATGGTGGTCAGACCACTATCGGGGCTCAGGAGCTCCCCACAGGTACCAACTCCTGCACCTCTGGTGCCTTCTTCACTGTTTGCCACCACCCTGTACACAGAGATAAAACACAACCGTTATTGTGTTGTGTCAATCTGAGAGTCGATAAACGTGCCTAAATGATAATTCACGCCAGAGCTCAAGTTTTATCGACTTTCACTGACACTGTTGAAACCCAATAAAAGGGATGTATTATTACCTTGCTATGGGCGCCGCATCTCCGCCGCCTCCCTCTGCTCTCTCCACGTCAGAGCTATCCATGTCAGTGATACCAGAGGATCCTTGGGAGAACTCGACGCTGCCTGCCACTCCCTCTGTGGAGGAGGTCCTGCTGTTGGGGTGGCGGGCTAATACAGAGCTGCGCCGGTCAACAAAGGTCTTGAGGAGGCCCTGTATTTCTTCTACCAGCAGAGGAGGAGTGCCAAACGTTAAGCAGGTGTTTATGGGAATGTGGTAGACTTGGATGTCCTCCCTGGCTTCCAGTTCGCCAGAAAGAAACCAGCTGGAAGATTCTTCCAACTCACTGCAGATCTGCAATGAAAGCCACTGAGTTGTATTTTATGTTTTCTATTTTTTTCTCTCAAAGCAATAGTTTGATCATTTGATAAATGTTCTTATTTGTTTTCAAGTTGATAGCACTCTAATGTCTAGCCAGTAGGCTATATCATTTTTCATGCAACTTTATTAAGAAAGCAAATAAGTGCATTTCAATAAGGTGTTTCTATTTTATTTTATGGATTTTCTGGGAAGTACAACTAACAAAATGGAAGGACTTGTTAAGATAATATCAAGAGATACAGCAACATTTCTAAATAAATAAGAGACATCAAAATGCTAATTTCTAGTTCCTAGAGTTGCGTTTATCAAAGGCACTTGTGTTTCACTCTTGTCATATAGCTTTATTCATGGTCTTTCATTTTATTTACCTGGTTTAGGAGATCTGTGTTGCTTGAGTAGACAGCCACCTGCTGGCGGCGATGATGAACTGTGTCATTGATAGACGGCAGAACTACCAGAGCATCATAACCATGGCGATGGCTGAATGAGTTCAGCTCGTCCACGTAACTATGCCAGTCCTGGGAGAGAGTTGTAAGAAAAGACAAACAGGCAGAAAAGAAAAAGAGAAAAAAAGAGAGAAGGGGGAAAGGAATCAAACTCTGAATTGTGTAATGCAAATTACTGACACAACTCTAATACATCATATTATGAGTTAATACGAAAAAAGCAATTACAACATTAATTGTAATAATCTCAAAGAAATTAATACTTTTAATGAAGCAACGCTAGTCGTTTTGATTACAGTTGGAAAGAAAACTTTGTTAGACCCTTTCCTGTCATTGCGCATATGATTACATTTTTTTGTTAATAGAAAAAGTGGTTTCGAGTAAGCTTTCATCTGCAGCAATGAGAGACGAAGCTGTCAAGACGCACAGAGGGGCAGAGAGACACTTTGTGATTTATTGTTTGGGAATTAACTGTTTGCTCTTAAAACAGCCACCATGCACAGATTATGGTAATTCAGCGTCACGCACAATGATTGATGGATTGAAAGTTGCATTAATTAATTGTTTTGCTTGTCAAGTCAACTTGCTTTTCTTTCTTTCTGAGATGATTAACAACAATGTTATTGCAACCGTCATTTGCAACCCAGTGTTACACATAAAGTGATACTTTTGAAAACATATTTACTTGATTAATCTAGATTTGCAGTGCGACTGTTTGCTTTGTGAAGTTGTCAAAATTGTTGTTGTGCTTATTTAAGTAGAACTTTCAAACAAAAGAGATATTGTCGCTTTAGCAAAGCTAATTGAAGAGTTTGACATGAATATGTGTGGGTTTTTTTTTTGAAAATATACTTCATGTTGCCTTGTCCAAATAGAATTTGACTCTTTCTGACTTTGAAAGTTTGCATTTTATTCAATATGGAGTGTGTGTAGTCCTGCTCTCCGCTTGAGTCTGAGTGTGTGTGTGTGTGTGTATTTGTACGGGTCCAGTGAAAGTGATGGATGAGCGCTGCAGGCACTGTATCTGCCCAGACTGTGTCAATATTAACCTGTGAGGATGAGGGGGCTACAATACGGCTCCCTCTGCTCCTCCCTCCATCCCTTCATCCTTCTCTCTCTTCACAATATGGCTGCTGTCAGACGCAGGCCCATCAATCCTAACACACACACACACACACTTCAATGACACTGCAATTTTTCAAGCGCTGATATCCTGATGAGTGCAATGAAGCCTCCCAAGATTCGTTAAAACACACACATTCACTCACATAAGTGCAGAGACACTACACAAACCCTGACGCATGCAGATACACACATACATTTGCCCGCAGTCGTCTCAATGTATGAACAAACATGTACCAGTATACATGCGAGCTCTGGTAAAGCAATAGAGTCTTCAGCATTTACAGTACATTATCAAAGACATACTCAATTGATGGTGATACTTTAAAGCTAGTACCCGACTGCGTGCATGTGCACACAAAACGACACACACACACACACACTTACACACATTCTCACTCACACAGGCAAGGAAATATAGCCAGAAAAAGAGCAGAGTGCAAATCGCACAATAGAGGCTCAGGGCGACAGTCTGTCTGCCATTTGGCTCTTGACTGAGTAAATTACTACTCATATTGCCTGCCCCTCCTCTTTCTGCCACCCCCAGATACACAGATTGCCTTTTCTTATAAATTACCAACATGTTAGCGATAAAAATCCACTCGCTATCAGTCTCCAAGAACCTAAGGATGCGGACAAAGAAACCTGTTTCTCATTTGTTGAGCTGAGATATCACAAACATAGTCTCTTGTTAAACATTTCACTGTACTGCATTTTGAATGACGTTCATTTGTATTTGTTGTAAAAGTAGAGACTGACTGGTAACAGTTCTGCTCCTGCAAATGTTTGAAATATTCACAATGTAACGCTTCAAAACAACATCAGAGGAAAGCACACCGTTACCAACAATGCAGCTTTGTTTTGAAAAAACTACAGATGAGCGACAGCTGTAATCTGAAGTTTGTATTAAAAAAAAGATACACTGGAACAAAATACGTTTATAGAAGTTAAAGAAGTAATCATAGTTTTCAACATAAATTACAGAAAAGCCAAATGGTGGAAATATTAAACTGAAAAGGTGCATCACAACACAGTGTTGAGAGATAACACTTGAGACACTGAAAACCTTTAGAAACATGTGAGTGTTTTCAATCCAGTGTTGACATATGGCGACGTATTTCTCAAAAGCAAGCAAAGTTTTTTTATCTTAAATCATAAATTATGTATCAAAGAGGCATTTTTTTACACAAACCTTCTCTGTCTGTCTCACCTTTCCCGCCCTTACATGTATCTCTTGTTTCTCTTACACACTTTGCAGCTTCATCTTTCTAGCTCCAAGAAGGCCCCCATCCACACACACACACACACACACACACACACACACACACACACACACACACACACACACACACACACACACGGATACACAGATACACACTCCCTCCCTCTCTCTCTTTGGTTGTCTTTGCTCCACAGGTAGCAAGTCTTTAGCGGCTGCTCGCAGTTCTCCCAACCTGCCATCATTATGCACAATAGCCTTAGGTACAAAACTCAGGCCTCATAACTCACGCCCCGCGCGCGCAAATTCCCGTGCAAACACAGTCAAAGCAAAAACACATTTCCTGCTGTCGCCAACATCTTCGGCAGAGAATTAATCAAGCGTTCATCCATTTAGGCTCTTTGCATACCCTTTCCTTCGGAATACAGAACGCTAAGAGACTTGCGAGTTCTTCTCAGGCGATCGTTTCGCCACCCTGATGAATCCATCAAGCAAGGTTTGATTTATACATCTGTCTGTGATCACAGCGGTACAGCTACAGCAAATGGGGTGGCAAGGAGCGAGCTGACACCACCCTGCTCAAATAAACACATGGAAATGCACGCACACATGTGCAACATATACCACTTGCCACACACACGCACAGACAAACTCACACACATGCATGTGCTCACGAACCAACAGTCACGCGCTCTCACTCACACTTGTGTGCACACACAAGAGTATTACTGCTCATGAAGTTTTTGGGAGACAGAGGGAAAGTGGGAGGGGGTAAAAGTTTGCAGAGAAAGAAATGTCTTTCTATCTTTCTCACATGGGCCTTCTCCGCATGCTTCACTCAGCTCTAAGTGCAGGGATTTGGGGGCCAAGATGCGAGCAGTGAGTCTATAAATGTTTTGTTTTGGATATTTGTTTTCCATTAAAGCCCAAGGAAGCCAACAGGGGGAGAATGAAAAGACTGTCTTGTTGGACTGCTTTCCAAACTTGGTTAAATATGTAGACTACATGAAACAATTCTTATTATATTGTGGGTTACAGTTAAAACAAATTTACAAGCAATTTTTACAGCTAAATATTTTGACAAGGCAGTTGACGTAGACATAGTTTGAATGTATTCCCATATAAAGTGCTGCAACGCAAAGACATTGAACAGACCTAGCAAAATGTGCACTTGTTCTTCTCTCGGGCCACGGTTGATCGGATGTTTATGCATTAGAATCGGCAGTGGCTTTCAGCATTATCTTCCTAATGGATAGTCTGACCAAGAAAAGCACCGCGGAGCTCGAAAGAAAGCACCAGGAAGTCGTGGAGGAATAGAAGGATAGAGGGATGTAGGGGCGGGGCCCCCCCCCGACTTCCTGGTCTTCAATCTTAGTCCCTGGGAGGCCCACCCTGCACCTGCTGTCTCCGAGTGCCTCTCATCAGAAAGGCATTTACCGAGTGCCGTGGCTGGGGGCCCCTTCATTAGCGAGCATAATTATTTGTGCAAGTGGCGTAGGGCAAAACTGGCCCCGCATAAACAAACAGAAGGGCCGGAGGACTGTGAACAAACAACGCATTAGAGACGATCAACGCCGCGAAAATGACATCTAAAGGTTACCTCAGACAGAGAGCTGGACACACAAACACAAGAACCGAAAGAATAAAACAAACAAATTTAGAACCAAAGACATCATAGTAAGGAAAATGGGAAATTAGATCTTGTTGTAAGCAGATGCATTATCCCATAACCAGACTCACACCCACACAGGAAGAGAAGACAATTCATTTTGTTTACCACACAGAGGAAGGAAACAACATTAAAATCATTCGGATATGTTGGTGGAACACTGGATCATATTTGCATATCACAGTGGAGGCTCCAACCAAAATGCTAACTTTTATTACTCTCCCACGGCTCCCCTCTCTAAAGTCTGAAACACCGCTTAAAAATAGCTTTAAAAATACAGAACACAAAAGAAATCTAAAACATATTGTGATACTTAGACGTCCATGTTAACATATGCTAAAAGCACATTATTCACATATTCATGACTGTGTGTGTGTGTGTGTGTGTGTGTGTGTGTGTGTGTGTGTGTGTGTGTTTGGCTGTGGGCTCCTGTCCTTCCCACAGTTCATCAACTCCACAGCACGACAACTCTTTATCCGACCAATGTTTCATCTCCCAGTGCTAATTACTGAGCCATGAAAACACACACACACACTCACTGGCAAGAATATGTGAATAGTGTGTTCATTCATTTGAGCTTCATATAAGTTTTACACAAAACATTTCGTAAAACTAAAGCTTCCAATTTCTCAGTCACCTGTCATTTACAGGTGATGCCGCACAACAACTATGTGCCCTTTAGCAACAATCTTGAGTCATTTTGGCTTCTGCAGGCTTACGGCGTCCTGCTTGCAGCCTAAATTGCGCTATGAACAAAGTTGGCTGGTCCTCATGAAAGTAAATACCACACGTGTGGTCTGAATATTTTGTCTTTTCTTCAGTAGGTGCTAAAAAAAAACCAAAGAAATACACGTCAAAAATACATACATACACAAATTATTCCTATTCATGGTTTTTAAATACTTTAGTTTGGGAGAAAGAAAAAAAATCAATTAGTATAACATTAACCTTCTTCTTCCCTAGAGTTTTAATTTAGATTAAATTACACACGTTTCAATGGGCAAATTTCCAATGTATTCAAACAACAATAAAAAGGAGTCATGTTTCAGCCTCGGACTGCAGCGGTATGGGACGTGCTCGGCATAGTTGCAGTTATAGTGCAGGGAATTATTTCAACAACGGAAACAACCGCACAAACTTAAGGTACGTGCAGTTTAAACTGCAAGCAAACAAAACCTGATTCTTGTCTCCCACACTGGCATGCAGTAAAATATTTTTACTTATTTTATTTCACAACTTTGTATACACAGTACAAATTCTATGCAATTTGGCATCTGTCTATATGCTGAATTGCCGCTGAAGCATCATACAATTGATACAATAATTGTGCACGTGAATTTCAGATGTAAATAGATGATGATTTGTATGCAGCATGTTGTGACATTGTATACAAAATTAAATAAATTATTGTTTAGGAACTGATAAAGATATTTGCCGTTTACTGTTTAACATGTAGCGCACAAATGACACTCAGAAACAACCCGACGGGCTGCGATTTGAAGGAATGAAACTCCATTCATTTCCACTTTCTTCATTCTCCTCCGTAATAACGGAGCGCAGAGACTGACTAATGTGTGTTTGTACAGTTTAAAAAAAATACATTAGTCAGTCTATATGATGTGTCCATATCATTGCACCAAACAATCAGACTTTTTTCTTCTGCTAACTAGGCAATCACAGCTAGATCTTCTCATACCTCAAGACCAAACTCTGTCCTCTTTAACTGTTACCACACACACAGACAAAAAGCACACTTTGACAAACACATAACACATAAACCATTAAAGACTAATTGAATCTAATTTATTTAGTTTTCTGGAAAGAATCATTTAAGCCAGAAGTCCCTTCAATAAATGACACTCTCCGCACCGTTTTACTCTCTTTTCAAACACAATTAAAAAATGATATATATAAATATATACACACTGCAAATGACATGCATATAAGGAGTTCATTTTGGAGCCCGATCTCAGGTCATTAGTAACCCACCATGACGCTGTGGAGTTTGAGGGTCCGCTGGCGACACACAGGCCCCTGGCCATTTATTCTATATTAAGTCTCTAATGGGCCCTCTCTCACTCCTTCTCTCCGCCTCTCTTTCTCTCTCGCTTTCTCTCACTCCTGACACACAGCATGTAGGCACAGCGATGGTAAAATATGCACAGAAAGTCCGGTGCGCACACACAGACAAAGCCATTGAAATGAATGGTTATTTATTCGCTAAACGAGGATCTGGGTGTTTAATGTTCCTTGGACGTTAGGTAGTTTTCTGGGGGAGGCAGAGCCTTACCCCTACGGCTACAGACATCATTTATTTTACACATAGCCTAATACCGCACGCTAGGCAGCCGCTGAGTAAAATGGGCTTTGGAAGTGGAAAGGAGATATAAAATAAATAATGAATGATTTTTTTTTGGAGGCGGGGTAGGGGTTGGTGATGGGAGGGGGTCGAATGCATTAGAAGTTGCGGAAGGGAGAAAAGCAAGGGGGTGAGCTTTAAGGCTTAAAGCACCTCCTGTGTGTTAGCGTGTGCGAGTGCGTGTGTTTGTGTGAGAGAAGAAGAATGACAGAGCGACGCAGACAGAATGATAGAAAAGGCAACACAGATATTCCACAGTTGTGTGTGTTTCTGTGTTTTTATCTGTGTGTGTGTGTGTGTTGGATGTTAGGTTATCAGTGGGCGGCAGGTGATACCTGGGTGTGCGTGAGGCTCTCAGGCCTCCATCTGCATCTCATCCAAATGCAGAACATCACAACAGATCAGAGGGGCTCCTCTACTTGCATAACAGCACTTCCCCAAAATGACACAGCAACAGTGTGATGTATCGAGAACAACAACGCCATCAAAAGTTACTTTTTGAAAATAAAAAATGTTTTATTCATTTATATATTTTTGTCAAAAATGTATACATTTTTCCACTTATATATTTTTTTTATCATAACAAAAGTATTTGTGGACGGTTTCAAATATAACTGTAATTATAATATAATTATTAGTTTTTGATTATTATAGTAAGGGCATTAGTTAGTCAATATTGCTATGTCAGCACACAAGTGAATGCACACTTAGATAGTTTAACTGTGGTCATATCCGAAATTAGTGATAAAATATATACTTTGAAAGGTTTCCAATTCATCGTTGCATGAAATGTAAACTTTTAAACCCTACTTACTAGTGTTGTGAATTGTTTGCAAATGTTATTAACATAGAAATGGGTCTTTGTGGGTCGGAGTCTTGAACCTTCCCAGTTAACAGGATTAGTCAACTGAGCTTCAGGCAATACAGACTTAATGCACCAAGAAATAACACATTATTGAATGTCATCGGTAAATTGGTTTATATGTATGTTTGAATTTCCTGAACAAAAAAAAGAATTGGGTTGAGCTGGTTTTAAGATTTTTAGAATGATGAAAAACGTACCTCCTTATATATGGGGACTGAAGTGAGCGCTACGGTCATTCCTCCATCCGAAAATTCCTTCAGCTCCACAGTCAGCAGCTGCTCCAAGTCTACATCCAGTCAGCACACACAAACAGACTAACAGTTATATAAAACACACACAAACTAATACAAAACAAGTTCACAACAGACAGAAAAAAACACAGGCATGAATACATTTTCCAGAAGTAGAGGTAATTGAAAGGATGTTTTAGAATTAGCCTCCACAGGATTTATACAGAGCAGTTAACGTTCATATGACCCGACTTGTGTGAGCAGTAGAGCAAATTGTTAAATGTGTCCTCTTTTACAGTTTAAATCCCCCTCAGCTTACTGACATTGTCTTGAATCAAAATTATGCTGTTATATTAAAGATGATGTGAACTGGGAAGATTTTAAATCAACTCAACTGATCCGATACTTTCAGTTTACTCCAAACTGCATGGATACTAGTTCTAAAGCACCTATAAATAAAACAAGCTTTTGACAAATTTACCATTAGATTTTTAATATATTGTTTGCCATCCTAAATGTACAATGACAGCTGTGATGCTCATGAAATAATTCAACAATAGCTAGAAAATGCACAACCACAGAGGAATGAAGACAAATCCCCCGGAATAAAAGGCAAAGTTGATTGTTTGGGATTTGACAACTACAGATGTTTCCTGGAAAATAGTTTTCACATTATCAAAGTATCCAGCTAAGACTGTTTGAATGGTGTAACCAATTATAGCTACTAGTTTGAAAGTCGCTAGAAGTTAAACTTTGAAATAGCCTACAAATATCTGGTGCAGCTTAAAATTCTTGGCAACTGGAACAATTGAAGATAATGGTAACTACTCTGCCTGTTTAAATATGCATCATGTAGCCTCTTCGCATCATGTTTACCTGCAGTGTCATCACTGCAGTGCTCCAAGGACCTCATGAGCTCCTCCAGTTGTGCAGGCCGACGGCCATGTTTGACCCACAAACCTTCACTCTGCAGCCGCAGGGCCTCTGTGGACACACAAGCACACAAATACATAGCGGCGTGTCCGGGATGCACATTCTGTTAGTTCAAATACATCGAGTACAGGTTCAATAAATACTACAGTTCAGTGTAGACCGATAAAAAAAAAATGTCCTTTGTCCTTGTCCTTTGGTAGTTTATGAGGATCACGATTTAAGTTAAGCTACTGGCCTTTTTAGGAAGCAATGCGCCTGGTAATGCAACATCTGAAGAGCATGTCTCCTGCACAACCTCTACACGGCTATTTGACATATTGAGTGACACACACACACACACACACACACACACACACACACACCGTTTTGTCCTCTGATACGATCTCCCTTTTACTGTTTTCTCTGTTACGGTGGCCTTTTTTCCACATAAAACATGTATTGATTTCTCTAATTATTTCTTATTATAACTTGTATCACAAAGTTGAAACAAATGCAAACTAAACTAAAGAAGAGTCACAATACGGAACTCTGTGTGTCTTTCATCACTCTTCCTTACTCACACCCACCACCCCTCATCTCTCGCTTTCTCCATGTCTCCTGGTGGGTGTTAAGCGAGTCATGTCAGGGGATTTGTGTGTGTCCTCCTTCATCGCCCCATTACTCCCCCTGGGGGGCACCTGCGCCTTCCTCACCTCCAAGAGTCTCCCTCAGCGCTGCTCCGATGTGCTCTGCTGCCTCTTGAAGAATCTCCCCAGCGACTGTCGTCACCGCAGACGATGCCCCATCATCCCCTGCGTCCTGCTGCCTGTCTTGATGGACCACTCGCAGGATGCTGGACTGCAGGGTGTGGTACTCGGAGCTAGGAGAGTGAGAAGATGGTGGTGAAGGAGATATGGACGGCTGCAGGGGAAGCAGCGACGATTGTGAGTCACGTGCATGAATACAATTTCCAATGGATTGCGAGGGATGAAATAAACACTCAATTTCCCTTTTGCCTGCATATATGCAGACTTCTGAGCAAGAAGCCCATTGTTTGATATATTCGTGTATGCCTCAGTGTGCACACACAGTAATCAGTGTTCCTTTAATGAAACAACTTCACGTAATCCTCTTTCAGGTTTCAGGCATAAATATTTCCCATAGCAGTTGAAATTAGCTGAAGTTATCTACACACTGACCTGGTTTTTGTACCTTGAGATGATGTGAGTGTTTACCTATCTAGCAGTCCATCTCTCAGTAGTGTAAGTGACAATTTTCCGGTGTGATGAAGCTTCACAAGGTCCACATCCTTTTTCCACAGCAGCGAGCTCTCGCAAATTTTTACCCTCTGCAGATACTTTATCGTCTCCCCGGGCAACCCAGCGCCACGTTGCCGGCAGCACAGCAGAGGCACACACACTCCACCTGAGGCCTCCTTCTGGGGCAGGCAAAAAATCAAACCTGAATCCATTCTGAATCAATAGGCAGACATTATATTTGATTAAATACAGATTTAAAAATAAACAAAGCGTTTTATTGTTCATTGTTGCATACATAATGGCACCAGAAATCTTTTTACTACATGAATTTAATCATGCTTTAACGATCATGTCTTAATGAATAAAGGTGTACCATGCGGCAGTTCTCGCTTACTGGTTCAAAACAAAACTTTCCGACCCATCCTTCACAACCCAACGAGCGGAATACAAAGAGCAGCAGTAGAGGAGCGAGCTGGACAATGGTTAAAGAAATTAAGTGCCGTTGGTGGGAAAAGGGGGAGGTGCCACATTGTTGGATATCGTGTGAATGCAACCAAAGTATTTGCTTCCACTGTGGCCTCTTTGCTCTGTGTGTGGATAACACACATATAACTGGCCTATCGGTACAGAATACTTCACTATGTGTTACCACCATATAACACATCTATATGTTTGGAGGGAAAAAAAGGGGGATTGGATCAAACTTTGGAGCAGTTAAGTGGAAAAGAAGAGTCTCAAAGTTCTCTGAAGGGCATTTTATAGTTGACCTTCTGTGTTTCATTTTGTTTGATACCTGAGTGATGCATGGACATTTTCTGCCAGTCCACCATCACATTCAGTATTCGTCATTATTAGTAATTCTTTAATTCTGAATGCCAGCTGTTTTCTATTCTTATGCATTTCCACAAACATCACTGTAAAAATGAATTGGCAATATAAAACCATAGCAATGTTTCCAGATAATTGGTGACAGATAATAGTGAAATACTCTGAAGCAAAACAAGTAGATTGCAAATTCTCTACGAGGGTACATGACACATGTCAAACCAAACAACAATGTGTACGATGTGTTTGCTAACTTGATGGAGTACACTCAAACCACACAGCATGCTTACTGAATAGGTAACTTGTTTTTAAGTATAAAACACATCCACTCAAACAGAATTCATGTTACCTGGCTGAGGTGCAGTGCTAAGCACAGTGTCGCGGCCACAGTGTCAACATCTGCCTCCGGTCCTCCTAAAACAGCATGGACGTGATCGTCTAATGCATCCGTCTGTAAACACGAACATACAAGGGTGGCTTCTTTATTACATAAATGTGCCTGACACAACATCATTCTGTTATACTGTAGTACTTTGTTTAACAACATCTAACAAAGGTACACCTGCGATAACTACAGCATGTTGAAACCAACAGTTCACATTAATGATGAAATGGTGCTGCGGGGGGGAGCGGATAATGCTCAATGTGCACGAGGCTGGAAGCGAAATCAGTTGTAACAGCAAAGCAGAGCTCTAAATTAGCGAGAGAAACATTTTCACTGCTAACTCACAGTTACAGGCTGTATCAGAGAGCTGATGACCTCCATTAATTTCACTAAACAATGCAGACAAACACTCCTCATTTAGGTTAAGTGGACATTAATGACAGATCTATTAAAGAGATTAAGCATTCATCTCCGGTTGGAAAGGCATAAAATTAAGTTTCTTCCTTCATTTATTGACTCTGTGTTACATTGTATTAAGGCATTCCAGAACTAGTATGTAAATAAGGCATTTACGGAGTTACACGCATGGGACACACAACCAAAAGTCAGGTCTATGGACATTTCACATTTGTCCAAAAAAAAATACAAACACCAGAATAGAAACAAGCAACAACTTCCTCTTAATGACAAGCATCCTCATTCATTACACCTGGAAAGAAAAGAGTGCAATCATTTTTGGTAATTGAGATCGAAATCACACTGAGTCATCCCCATTTTGCACTTGCTCACTGTGTGTTTTGTGACAATCTGTAATGTTTTATCTCAAACAGATTAGCTGACTCACCACAAGTACCAGCCGTCCTTGCAGCCTGCACCATTAATCAAGACGCAAAATGTGGATACAATGAAAATCCTGTCTATCTGGAACTCATCTTAATGGGCTCGTACGCTCTGATGGGAGAGGACGCTGGAGTTGTAGTTTACAAAAACAAAGGGAGCCTTCACCACTTGTGTCTTCTGACTCTTGTGCACCAGGCAACTTACGGCCACAAACTCAGTTCTGTATCCTCCGTGCATCTTCCAACCTCGGCTGACACGGGCTACACTGACTTAGTTGCATTGAAAACATAACTCTGATTGCGTGGATATTTGTAGTAGCACTCTGAAAACTCCATACGTGTTTTGAAATACCCTCGTAAAATCATTCAGCAATGTTATTCAGTTGTGGTCCAGTGTGCTGCTAGGTCAGAGGTGACTGATGTACAGCCACTCCACGATGGAGTGAACTCAGTTTCATTGCCGGCTGAATGATGCACTCTCCTTTCAATACAGTGGCGAGCCTTGGGATGAACAGCTCTCTCAATTAAAATATATATCAAATCTAAATAGTTTATTGATCCCTGGAGGTAAATTTGTGTACTGCTCCAATTCAAAAATAGAAACATATGACATAAAGAAATTATAACAGATATAAGAAAGAAATATGTAAAAATGTGCAAATTATACAAAAATATAACAACACAGATATAAAAACATATCAGAAATATACAATTTATAACAATGAAAAAAAATTCTTGTTCAAATGTGTAAAAATGAAAAAATAGTCTCTATCAATGTCTATCATATTTTGAGCAATCTAGATAATTAAGTGTAGACAGGTACAAAGAAGTGGAAGGAGAGTAAGAGAAGACTGTGTAGAGGAAAGAGGAGGGAGGGAGAAGGACTGCAGCCAGTCGCTTCATATAGGAGAAAAAGAGAATAAATCAATATAGCCAGAGAAAGAAGGATGCATTAGCCGGAGACAATGCCACTAAGTGTCTGTTCTACTGCAGCGCAAGTTCGTAGCTATATGTGTGTGTGTGTGCCTGTGTGTGTGTGCGCATGTGTGTGCGCATAAGTATGTGTTAGCCAACTGATATCCTTCAATGCGAGTGCTCTCCCTCTGAGCTCCGTCCTCATGTCCCAACACATTCAAGTTGTCTCCTCTCCTCCAATTAGTATTTTAAGCCATATCAGCCAAGAATGAGAAGATTGACTCACTTACAGTGATTGATTCATGCCTAAAAGCAGTGAGGCTTTCAAATACAACCTTTTAATATATTCAGAAACGATAACGGTTGGTTTTTGTAACCATGGGAGCAACCGGAGTCTGTCCAACTGCATTTGATTGAGGTCAAGGGAACACTGAGAATAAGTCACCAGTCCATCATATTGATAATATCATGTACATATAATCCTGTCTGGAAGTCTCATTTCATCTGAACTGGTGAAGTACAGACTTTCTTGGCCTGAAAATGAGATACAAGTTCTTATTTTACTTGTATTAGTGTGTGTTTTGTTGCTTCTAAAAATTACATTCAGAATGTTTGTGTCAAGAAGTCAAGACAGCGTCTGTATCAATAAATGATATAAGAGGCACTAAATGTTGCTGCACATTCAACTGTCATTAAAAGGATTTTGAAACATCACAGCAGTTGTCACTCCCAGTACATTGTGAAACTCCTACACACACTTAGTATGCACCCACTGTGAATTTGTGTGTACCTTCCAGTAAGTTACACAATTTGTTTTCCAAGAAGAAAGCACACTTTTCACTTCTTCTGCTATAATTTGTTGATTCACGAAACATTGATTATTTACATACAGCGTATTTTTTGAAAAAAACCTTTTCTATCTTTTTTTTCTGAAATAAATGCAAAGCTAAAGCCAGAATCAAAGTGGTCCTCAAATGTCTTTTCAGGTGTGGGAATTTTTGTGTGTGTGTGAGCGAGTATTAGTGTGCAGACTGAGAAGGGCAGATGGTGTGAGTCCACTCAGCACTTTGCTCGAGCACCAGGGTGAAGGAGGGAGAGCTATGGAGCGATATGGAGAAAAACTGAGTGGGACAGAGAGACGGGTTCAGTAGCACTAAGAGCCAAGCCAATTAGAGCTATGGATGTTTTGGATGGAGGCCACGCAGAGAGTAGAGAGAGAGAGAGAGAGGGAGGGAGAGGGAGAGGGAGAGGGAGAGGGAAGATGATAGACAGTGGTCAGCCAAATACAATAATATCAAAGTTTTTATTGCTGAAGGAAATAAAGTGTGTCCATCTGTGTATGAGAGAGAAATGTTTAATAATCATGACATGTGTTTCTCTTTATCTGCAATCTCCAAGACACTCATCAGTTGCCCTCCTTATCACTCAATTACCCTGCTGTGCTCTAATCCGTGGATTTGCTTCTTTGATCTTCTCTTTAGCGTTCCCCTTGGTTTGTGTGAAGTACATCCCCAATAGAAGCTCCTATCTTCTGTCAATTTTATTCCAGACATGCTGTTCATATGCAATCTATAATGAAAAGGTTCGGAACAGCTCCTAGGGCCATGAAAATTCTCTCAACGGTTTACAAAGCATGATGTAGCAACAAATACCTGTTATCTATATGGAGATATAGTGGAGAAATGCCAAGCAGAGACTGACATGATTCTCCATTTACGTATGCGAGGTAATCCAAGCGTCTTCTTGCTTGGTTGACGTAGCCGGGCCTTTTAGTGCGCCCCACTGGCCTGCTCATCATCGCTGTCGCTCGTCCCTGATACCTGACGACAGTTACAGTTGACCACATAACAATGTCCAAACCCTCACCTAGGAAGTGTAGCATAGTGTGGGTTCATTGTAATCAATTGCTGACATGAGAAATTAAATGTAAAACACAAGGTAATTAACTATAAAATAAATGCCTAAATTGCAGCCATGCCAATATCAACTGAGCGCTCAGTCTCAGGTACTCTTTAAGAATAAAGAGATTTACCACCATGGAAATGCAGCTGATAATATTGGCATGCCTTTTAAACAAGCAGAGCAGTTTCATGGCATCATCATCCATGAAAGGACCTCTGATAGGAACGGCTGTGAAAGTGTTGCGGGGCTTCCCCAGTCTAGATGTACACTACGGCCAAGACTGTGTATAGAAATGTAAAAAATATTTGATCCACACAATATGATAATATGTTGTCCCCAAAGGCTCCATGGTCATTTAGTCCATATAAATGACGTTGTTTGGTATTTGCATTAAGCTTTTTTATGTGCACATACCATTCAGATCAAATGCCTATCATGAGGCCGTATCTGCAGAGCAACCATGACAGCATCTGGCTAAACTTGTTGATGTCACGCCTCCCCCCTCAGTAGAAACCAGCCCCTCATTCAAATGCACACACCGCTGTCCCTGTGCACGCAACGAGCTTAACGCATGGGGCCAAACCCGCCTCATCCTCGCCTCTACTCTTATAATGTTATATTGTCGATCTACAGGTGCTTGGGGGGCCGAAAGGACGTGAGAAGCCCCCCCGGTGCTCTTGAGTGGCAACAGGAACGCAGCCTGTAGCTCAGCAGCGTTAGCCTGCCGTCCTGGTCTCATTCGGTTCCCCCCACAGACCTGCTGGTAGCGCCGCCGAAGGCTCTCAACTCACCCCGAGTCTGCTCTGCACCCTCCGCAGATACTCTTCCATGTCGGCCTGCGTCGCTGCGGATGTCTCCATAGACCAAGTTTCGGCAATAACGCTGCGTGCGTGCGTGCGTGCTAGTGCGTGTTCGTGCGTGCGGGCGTGCGTGCGTGTGTGCGTGCGTGCGTGTGTTTCCTCTGCGCTTCCGAGTGCCCCGCTGCGCTCGCACTGCAGCACTGTGCCGCTGAGCGCGCCGTCGGTCCTCCCCTTCTCTACGGGGCGAAGCCACAGCACCGAGCAGAGGGTGTGACGGCAGGAAGAGGAGATCCGACGGAGGCGCGCTCACTGATTCAACCGCGCTCCCTGCGGTAGGGAGACCCCCCCCCCCCCAACACACACATACATCCTATACCGTCCAGTCCACCAATGGAAAACCCCGTAGTGAATAATCGATAGAGGCTTCCAGCACCACGGACAGCGCCGGTTTCACCGCCGGTGATTTTGTGTTGATTTCAGCTCCTTCGCGCTTATGGTGTAAACAGAAAAATAGACCTATTTTTCGTGTGCGGCAATTTTCAACACATTAGTCCATTTTTGCCGCAATGTGTTAAAAACAAAATAACTGCCAGAGTCAACGAAAAACGCGTTGCTTTTATGGGTTGTGTGTGCGTGTGTCTGCGTATGGAAGGAAGCACTTTAATTAAACTGAAAGATGACCCGCAAGTACCAACCTCAGAATATAGAACGCACAGACAGATGCTCTGTCTCTTTTGCACACACACACACACACACACACACACACACACACACACACACACACACACACACACACACACACACGCACGAACACGCACACAGCTCTTGACCTGAGCTCTTGGGCCTGCTGGGGATCCATGGACGGAAGTTTGTAATACAGACATTTCTTGTGTCATTTTCACAATGGCTTTTCATTTCAGGCATTTTATGGACAATACCTAAAAGATACTGGTATTTCCAGATGGTTGTGAAAACACTGAGCCTCTCAGGTAACAGAGGACACTTTATCGCAGTATTAATGTGGGGTGCCAAAAGGTCCTCGTCTCAGACCAGAGTCACGCCAGCTATGACAGGGCGATTTGTGTTTGTGGTTTCCAGAAATGGGAAATATACATGAAATAACTCATGGGTTTGACGTTTAGTAGTTTTAAGGTTTTGTTTTGAGAAGAAAAGCGTTTTTGGTCTGAATGTTGTTATCTTGATAGCTGTGAATAAAGCAGCTAAGAGTCAACTCATACTTGATGGGAGGGATAGTTGTAAAAAGGCTGCAGTGGAAGAAGAATAACAGTCTGTGATAAGAGAGGAATCTTGTGTCTATTGTGTGTGTGCATGAACAGTCTATTGAAACTTTACAAAGAAATCTCCAGGTTTGCTGTTGTTGCCGACAAAAATTAGAGCGTCCAGTCTCAATGGGAGTATGAGAGAAGGTCACCTCAAGTAAGCTCAGTTAAGTGGTTTATAAGTTGTACATATATCCTTCACATCCTTCTAATTAGAGAGGGCAGCATTCAGCGAGTAACGTAAAAAAAAAAGTCAGTGCCAAAAAAGAAGGGAAAACAGCCTGTGAACCAAAACCAACTGCAAACGTTTGCATTTTTATACAGCTTGTGCTGTTGTTTTTGATTTGGAACCTGTACAGCTACTATACATGATTCAATTCACATGTGAGCAGATTTCCTGAAATGTATATTTTTACTTTTGGTATTTTGAAAGTTGAAGTGCAATACAACAGTACCAGTTCTAATAATAACTATCGCACAGAATTAGAGCAACAAAGTGTACTGCTTTGGATTCCATATGGCTTTCCTGTTATTTTATCCACCTCAATTATAATGTGTTATAACCAGACATATATTATTTGACAAACTTATTATAATATGTATTAATTCCGACTCTGTTGTTCAGTGTTATTGTTCGAGAAAGAAAAAAGAAATGTGTTTGTTTTAAAAGAAACAAACATATCAAAGCTTATGGATAGGAACGATTCTGGTGTGCGTTTTATTATTGTTGTTCTGAAAGTTTGAAGTCAGAGAGTTTGAAAAGAATACAAGAGCGAAAGTATTATAAGTTTGCCACTGTAAAGAATAATTATGTTATAGTACCTGCCTGAATGAAAAGGCAACAGGCAGACACAATGCAGCTTTGATAATGTTCCTGCTAGCTCGCTCTTTTATGGGGAAAAGGAAAGATCTGTCGTAGTTTGTCTCTAAATAATTTCCCATTACACATGGAAGGCTTACAGCGTTTGTACCATCGTCCTGAACTGGTTTAATTTTCCATTGAAAACAATAGGCATCGCTAATTGATTTTAATGACTCTCTCCGCCACGATGAGCCCCTTATGACTTGGAGAGAGGTCTTTAAGATTATTATTATTAGTATAATTGCCATTAACCGACACTTTCCTTTTTCAAATGGGAGACAGAGAAAGAATATCTTTGCCCTTGAGCTAAACAAATAATTATTAGAGGAAGGAACAAACAGACGACCGTCACTCACACACGCGCGCTCACACACACACACACACACACACGCAGAAACGCTCCACCTTTGAGTGGACCCCCTCCTGGCGACCCTCATTCCCTCCGCCGCCCTCTTCGTGCAGTGTGCCGCTTGTAATTTATGCAAAATTAATTGATACATCTTTTATAATTGATGTGCTGTAAACTTAATGAGTAATTTATGTAATTAGTCAATTAAGGATAATTCCAGCATATGTTCCATATGCCCAGAAGGTGTGCTTTACAACTAGTTATTTGTCCAGGAGTTGGGTGCAGACGAAGACTGCCGTAGACTACCTAATTAATTTTGTTATGCAGATCAGCCACGGTGTCTATTTAACGGCCCCCTTTGTGAAAACAGATTTAATATTGATCTTTCCCGGGCGCTTAAAGAGGATGCTTTTACCCGCGTTGGCCTCTGAGGGCCTCTGAGTTTAAAAACTCATTTTTCAGGTGCCAGAAAAATATTTTTGCAAACAAAACAAAACAAGCACCCCCCCCTCCCCCTCCCCAACAAAAATAAAAATAAATCACACGCACAACGAGAAGTTTTTTCATTTAGAGAAGAATAAATATAAATGTTCACCCTTTGTCAGGCACATGGTGTCTCTAAAATATGCTCTCCGTCGACACACTTAACCTTTTGAGTGGGCTTGAAGGCCTGAGACATAACGGGAGAGACTCACCGGCTAATTAATTGACACAGTTTTGAATATTCATACCTAATACAAGGAGCTTGCCCTTAATTACATTGTTGGACTTCTCTCCTAGGAGCCTAAGGCTTAATTATTGTAATGTATTCGGGGCCCCGCCGGAGCACCAAGACAGGAGCCGTCAAGGACCCAGTCATGACACCTGGCTAAAAGAATCTATGGGAAGAGGAGCAGCTTTTGTTGTTCTCCGCTGAGCAGAATTCAGAGCAGGGGATGGAGTTTGTTTACATCCTTGTAGGATTCACAGGAGAGTGTTTGAACAGACAGACAGCCGCCGGACTCCCCTCTCAGCAATTAATCAACAACAGCCTCCCCTCCCTCTCCTCTCGCTGTCTGCGTGTGTTTGTGTGTGTGCACACATGTGTAGTTGAGGGGAGGCAGAGGAGTACTGCACTGATGATTGTGCGCAAAGGCAGACATGATTTATTGTTTCCAAAGTCTGAAAGTGCAATCGAGCAAATTTTGCAAAGAGGTTGTATTTACAAATCCCATTCTTTACTATGTACTTCCTCACATAAGAAAGTTTGCTATGGGCGATTTAAATTGACATTCTTTGGCATATATCAATCATCTTATCTCAGCACCTTTTCATTCATATTAATAGGCACTGTATGATTTCCAAAAGGTTGATGACACAGAAATATTTATAATGAGTCGGCATGTGTGTGCAAGATACAAACTGACTGACTGCTATTTTTGACCAAAGAGGTCAAAGGTCGGTTCCCATACAGTCAGGGAAATAAGGAATGGAGGCATTGCAAGCATTTCCCCTTATTGGTTGAGTAATTAAAAGCAGTCACTGGTTATTTTCCAGTCCTTGTTTATCAGGAATCTTTGATCGGCAAACAGGAGATAAAAAGGGTCTTGAACGCACCACCCACCCCTCCTTTTTCATTTCTTTACCCGTCTTTCTGTCAGTATCTCTCTCTCTCTCTCTCTCTCTCTCTCTCTCTCTCTCTCTCTCTCTCTCTCTCTCTCTCTCTCGCTCTCCACACACACGCGCCTAAAGAGTCCTCTGCTCTCCCCTGACGTGTCCCCTAAGTGTCTGGATAACAGATAACACAGCCAGCGACCTGCGGGGGTCTTACAAAAGCAGCACTCAAAGGGTGGGAGCATCGCACAAGAGGAGAGGAACACACGCCACACACAGACAGCGACGCAAAGTGGCCCCTCGCATCTTTCAAGCGCCGTGGAAACAGAGAGGACCTCTTAACTTTTACGCACAGACACTGCCGTTTTACGCACGACACCGAGAGCAAATTTGGACAGGGAACAGTCTGTAGAAGAAACCTTCTTGGGATGCAGCAGCTTCTCGCGGATCTTACCTGACAGCGGCGGGCCTTTACAACCCACAACTCTTACTCCAAGACAATTTACCAGCTTCTGATCGAATGGCCAAGAACTTTGGAACAGATCCGTCAGATGGAGACTGATATGGAAACTTGGAAGACAGCCTGTTGCAACATATAGTTCAATATATATCTTTAAAAACGCTTTTATTTGGCAACTCATACTTGTAGAAAATAACAAGCAGTCATGCCTCGACCGGGGAAGAACTCTTACAGCGACCAGAAGCCCCCATATTCCTACATATCACTGACAGCCATGGCTATCCAGAACTCATCCGAAAAGATGCTGCCTCTGAGTGACATCTATAAGTTCATCATGGACCGCTTTCCGTATTATCGAGAGAACACCCAACGATGGCAGAATTCCCTGCGACACAACCTCTCCTTTAACGACTGCTTCATCAAGATCCCCCGACGGCCCGATCAGCCCGGGAAAGGCAGCTTTTGGGCTCTGCACCCGGACTGCGGGGACATGTTTGAGAACGGCAGTTTCCTGAGGAGACGGAAGCGCTTCAAGGTGCTGCGGGCTGAGCACATGGCCTGCAAGAGCTCTCCGATGATGCATTACTTTCACCACCACCACCACCACCACCAGAGCAGCAAGATGGGCACAGTATCCGGCCACCATGACCACTCAGCCGGCCCGGCGAGTGCCGTGGGTCGACTCCCCCCCTTCCAGGGTTACGGGGGCATTACTTGCGCACAGTCCGGCGGGTTTAAACACCCATTCGCCATCGAGAACATTATAGGACGGGACTATAAGGGTGTGATGGCCAGTGGGCTGCCACTCACCTCGGTCATGCACCACCTGGGTTACCCTGTGCCCCCGCAGCTCAGCAGCGTGGTCAACTCCATGTGGCCACACGTCGGGATGCTGTCGGAGTCCATGGGTGGTGTCCACGTGCCCGCATCATCCGATTACGTGCCCTTCGGCGTGTCGGCAAAGAGCCTGTACCATAATGCCAACGGGCAAACCCTGCCCGCCGTGCCCGTGCCAATAAAACCCACCCCGTCCCTTGGTCCCGTGCCCAGTCTGACGGGGCTGCAGACCGGCCCGAACCAGCTCTGCTCCCCGGTCTCAGGGATGGAGAAAGGCGATCTGCTGGAGGGGAAAGGCAACCCTCTTCACCCGGCTCTCCTGCTGTCCTAATCGGGTAAATTGCGGAACATTTTTGAAAAGTTACACAAACAAGAAGGACATTGTTATTGCATGAAGTAAGAGAGAAAAATGCATATCAGCAGCATCATAGTTTAAGTTGGATGCAGCTATAGAGGAGTTATGAAACCTAAGGATAACGTTGTGCTATGTAATGTATTTTTTACTAAACCCATGTTGATTGAAATTATGATTTATTTGCACAAGTTGTGAGGGCATTTACCACATACTGTAATGTGGCACTGATAAATACAATCAGACTAGATATGCTGAACCCAAAGAAAGCTTTGATCGAAGAGACAAACAGTCTAAAATGATTCCCAGATGCAAACTCTCATGAACTCTGTTTATTTATTGTTTGCTCTTATTCTATTTATTCGTAATCTATTGCAGGCCTATTGACTAAAGACAAATAGGCCTTGATGTTTTTTAATTAGGCCTGTTGCACTTTTTTGTGTGTTACTTTGCAGTAATTTGAAAATGTAATGCTTGTATTATAATACTATTTATCTGAAAATATTCATAAAGAACTTAAAATCAAATCTTTTTCGGTGTTGTAATTATTTACATTCTTGTTTTGATTACATGTCTCTGCTGTCACTGTTTGCACCATCAGAGGGAAAAAGAGACAAATTCCATGAAACAGATATTATTTTTATGAGATTTCGAGGAGTGATGCACAAATCACAATTATTTATCTGCATCAATTTACGAGTCCATCTTGTTAGTTTGAGTATAATAATTGCTTCCAAACCCAGTTATATAGGACAGGGAGTGATGCCACCAGTTGCTCATTGAAACATTTAATTGACGCTTACGTTTATTTTCATTATTTTATACCAGAAATTTAAAACAGATCCCCATTTAAACACCCATATTTAAAAATGTAAAATATTTGTAACAGTATTTGGAACACAGTGAGTGAAACCTGTGATTATTTGGAAAACGTTTCCTGAGTCAAAAGCATCACATGAAAGTCCCTTAAGACCATGGACCCAAATTGAAACGTCTCGTACCAAACTCTCAAACTGATCAAAGGGGAACAATCCTAGGGGAACTATTTAGCAGGAGCATTGGGAAAATATGAATAATTCAAATATGACATGACTCACCTAAATAAAACAGATACATGGGGGAAAAAGAAGATCACGTTGGCCTATTAGCCAAAATTTGCTGAAATGTTTAAATCTAAGTTAAGCTATCATCTCCCATAATTCATCACTATGTGTACAGTGAGGTTGTCGTGACATGAATCACATCTGGAATGGGAATATGTGCTGATATACGAGTATGCATAAGATTGATAGGAGCAGCTGACACCGCAGCTTCACGTCTTCAAAAGCAGGCAGGGTGATCGGATCAAGTTTTGCTCTTTTGTTTGCTCTGTTTAAACGCAGCTTTGAAGCTTCTCCTCTTCAGCGCCACAGAGTGCCAGCTTCAGCCCACTGGAATTGACTTATATTCAATCTCCGGTCCCCTGTTTAGCATCCCAAAGGCTTCCGAAGCCGACACCATTGTCACACCAGCCTCTGAACAAATAATTGAGATGCACCAGTGCAGGAGAGGCGTGGGAGTGAAAAATTAAAACCTATTTTGTCATTGCTAACAAGCCAAATACATCTAATATAGTCATCATATCTTCTTCTGTGTTATCATCCTATTTCCTTTTATAATGCTATATTTTTATATATTTCACTTAGAGCTCAAAAGGTAATCTCCTCTCATCTACCACTTTCTTATATCTAATTGTACACATTTTCGCCCACACTTCTCTTCAGGGTGTCTCTGATCTCTAGTTAAAGGGAACTGAATTTTCAGTGGCATACCAATGTCTATGTGAAAAGTGTGCGCTCTTTCTGTAGGTGTGTGTGTGCATGTGTGTGTGTGTGTTGCTTTAATTCCCTGATCAGCAGGCCTCAGCGTCTTTAATAGGCCTCACTGCATTAGTGTATAATTAAATGCCACTAATTAAGACACAATAAGAGGAGTAATAATGCAGCCATTATTACCCTCCATGATCCTCTGTCCTCACAACACCGTAGTTAGAAGCCTCTGGAATCATAATATCACATGAGGTCTCCTAATGTGCACATGTGTTTATGCACTGGCTATTAGGAGGTGTATCTGCAGCTCATTTATGAGCTTTTTTATTAGGGTAGAAACTGTGCTGCATGGGTGTGTCAAAGCATTTAGCAGTCTGCAGAGCTAGTTGGGAAACGGCGATATGTCTTTGATGCTCTTATTTTTGTTGTCATAGTGATGTTGAGGCTCCATTACTGTGTAAGATCTCGTCCCATATATAGTTGTGTGTTTCTCTGGTGTAAACATTTGGACTGTTATGTTGAAATTAAACACATTGGCTGGCGACCAGTCCGATGGGATGGACATTGAAAAGTGAAGTGTTTCTACAAATTCAAAGTTTAACTAAATATAGTTCTTAAGATGAACAGCTGCCCTTATTTGTACCGTTGTCACCGGGACATAGACATTCTGAACATGCCTTTTATTTATTTACAACAAATATCCAACTTAAAAGAACCTGTATTAGTGATTATCAATCAATCATACAAACAAACAAAATCTAGGCTTAAAAGAGAAAGTCTGCTCACTAAAGCTTCTCAAAACCTTGAGATGAAAGCAATCAGTAACTTGGATGCACAAAAATTGATTTCTTTGCTGGGTATTAACATGAATCAGCGGCTTGTCGTCAGCGGCATGTCATCAAAATGATGTTAAACATATTAGAATGATTCCAGTAATTAAAGCAAACAGAGGGTTGTTTCAGTTTGTCACTCAAAAATCACAGAAAGCTGCTACGCTTCTGTGTTGGATAAAAGCGTGAATGTACTCAAACTGTTCTTTTTATTCCAAATAGCGTGAGTTAATCAGAAAATATAAAAGGAATTACATCCAGATCTCCGTTAAATGATTTGATGTTGGCTCCTCTAACACCTGTTAATGTAACAAATCAAGATTTTCAAGGACTATTAACAAAAGCAAAGCTTACAGAAGGAGTTCAAATACACCTCAATGAACACAAAGAGTCAGATGTAAAGGCACCTTCAATTTATTTTCTTCAAAAATCTATATTAATACTTTCCAAGCATGCAAGCATGTAGTACACAACACAAAAAGAGAATTAATAGTATGGAAAATATTGATCAAGCACAACGATTGTTTGTCCTTAAATGTCTTTTTATAACAGGCTGATCTTATGCATCCTTGACACCAGCCTTAGGGTTTAGGAGGGCTCCCATTGATATGATGATATTTCATTTGAACAATACAAGTATAGCAGTACACCGTATGAAACACAGCTATAAAAGTGAATGGGGCATTAATATGGAAAAACTGTTAATCATAAGAAATAGGAGCTCAAATGAATAATAGGCGTCTCATGAATGAATAAAACATTTAGGTCAGAGGTGTTTCACTGTCAGCCCTCAGAAACGAAACGTTACAGTCTAGAATAGGCGATGATACATTAGTGGTAATTACGGATACTTCATAGGGGCCAGGGTGGCAAATTCTACATGCGTTTTTCTTAATGACCAGCAAGAGTAGACCATCATAATGAGCAGCTTAATTCATTGATCTGCTCTGCTGTTCGCAATAACTCAAGCACATACACACACACACACATTCGCACGCATAAACATTAACAACCTTAAATATTACTCTTTGTTTCAGATCATGGTCTTTTATCCAACGTATTGGCATCATTAGATAAAGTACATTTAATCAAATTTATTTAAATGTATCGTAGTCTTATTAGGGTTCCTTGTTCAGTGGAACCATTTCAACAATGCAGGCATATAACTTAATTACATCAACTTTGTTACACAATTCTACCAAATAAAATGAATCTGTCTGTATCAAATCACAGCCCCAAATCGCCTCAAGTTGTTTCATTTGCCGAACCAGTAAATGAAGCACATTAGAAAAACTCTGACTACTTGAAATAGGCTCAGGCATTTACAACAACAACAAATGGCAATGAAAAGTGGCTGAAAATAATGTAAACACAGTGTCACAGTTATAGAATGCAGATGAACAAGAGGAGGAAAGAAGGGAAGGAAAGGGGCGTGTGAGAGAAATGTAGCTAAAGGTTAGTAGAACTAATGAAACAATAATCTTTGTTTTGTTAAAGATTTCAGGATTGTTGTTGATGCTGTCTGACCAGATTTCTAAAAAAGCACCTTGACACAGACAGAAAGACATCTAAAAGAAATAATTTAGCAAATTATGTAAATTTGATTCAGAGACTGACAATAATTACAACATGACGCAGTGTTAATATTTCTATGTCTAACGACTCGCATTTTGATGGACTGGTTGTCTTTAAACATCTAAAAGATGTTACAATAAAACAAGCCCCAAAGGAGTGTGTGTCCTTTCTTTGATGTATCATCTTTAATGTACCCAATTCCTTTAAACAGAAGAATAAATGTAGTGTTTTAAAGTCATGTCCAAGATATCCAAGATGTTTTTTATTATTATTATGTGTTATACAATTTTGGAACTCTCTTGGCATATGAATATAGAAGATCTGTTACGGTTAAGTTTACATGTAAAATAATCAATATATCTAGTTCCGTATTTTCTCCCGTATTTGTTCTTCTTTAACCTGCTGCAGCAATGATCTCATTTGCCGGGGCTGTAATGTTTGATGGTTATAGACCTTTTCACTGATTATATGTAATCAATAGGTGAATATATAGATGCATAAAAACATAATGGAAAGAGATGATAATTAGGAGAAAACCATTTGCAATGACAATTAAATGTGCTAACAAATAATTATATAATTCTGTATTTCAATGATCATATTATTAACAATTTAAATGGTTTGCATTTAGAATCTTTGCTCTTTGTTCATCAATTTGTGTTTGCGTTTAATATTCGCACATATTATTTCTTGTTTGCATGAACAAAATCCACATTGAGTTTCATCCTCAGTTTAATGAAGACGGCTACATTTTGTTCATTTTAAAGTCTTGTGGCACACAAAATATTTATGGTCTAACCCATTTCGCAAATAATTTTTCACATTTTGAAATAACCACATAACATTTTATGTGAGCACTGCATTATAATTTCAAGGTATTCAAATAAAACTAAATTCTACACACACTGTTTTACAGTAATAGAAACTATTGTTTGGTTTGTGACTTTCTCATTATACTCTCAGACTACACGAGGTTCCAGCTCTGCTGCTATCAATCAAAGTTATAAATGTGTAGTTTTGCAATTTAAATTTCTCTAAAACAACAATATTAATACTCCTTATGTCGTCAAATAATCCCAAAAAATTGTCTTGGAAAAAAACTCTTTTACCAAGAATCCTAACTACGGGTCACTATGGGCACATCACATCGCTCCGCAGCTTCTTTCAATATTTTTCTGACCCTGTTGTGTGTTGAATGCTGCTCAACTGAGGATGAGGATGCAAATGTTGTTTTACGATTTGTTCCTGTTCAGTAACACTTTTTTCCTCCTATTCCCCCCTATCCACTGCCTTCATTCACCAATTTTCTCTCGTGCAGCACCCCCCTCGACCTCTGTCATCCTTTCTCCTTGATACTTAGTTTGGGGTCAAATTTGATACGCCTCTTCTGGCAAGTGTTTTGTCTCAGCGGCGTCCTCAAAGTAAGGTGTTCTGACGCAGCTCATATTGTGTCCAATCTGCCTTCTATCTTTACTGGCCCAAATGAGTACAACTTATTAGCCTTTATTACATTTTATGGTCAATTCAAAACAGGTCAATGGTTCAGCCATTCTGGCCTCCTTCCCACTCTTTCCCCTTTTCAACTCGCCCACACAAAGAAGTTATCTGGCCAAAAAACTTCTGCAATTTCATAAAAGGTTCATGGCTTTGTGTGCTCATTCGACTCTGCAATAATAGAGATTAAAGTGAAATGGAAATGAGCAAAGCGTGTCATCAACTCTTCCCCTAATCAGAATTTGTACTTGGAATAAATCCCATCCCACAATGTCAGAATGTTAGAAGTCAAAACATTACATTTGGCATTTGGCAGCATCAGCCAATGAAAAGGCCATCTGAGGGGGATTAGCATATTGGCATCTGGCCGGGAGACAGAGAGAAGTTGTCGAGGGAGCGAGTCCTAACGACGGGTTTATATGGACCACGGCACATTATTATATCTGTTCTTCTATATCTTTTCTGTCTCCTCTACGCTCACTAACTTTCTATTTCCCTGCGCCTATCTATTTGGTATCATTGGAAATTGAAGCTAGAGATACTTTAAACAAAAATGAACCACGTAAAATCCACAAAACTTGCTTGATTGATCTTTGATCATCGGCCACCGCATCTCATTCGCTACACTCCGATGGAGGAGCAATTCCTCTAACTGAGCAAGTCTGAAAGACCAAATCCATAAATTCTTTGTTTATGGCGGAAGGCTGAAAGGTAACTTTTAGCAGGATGTAGTTACACATAAGGGGTTCAATTCGTTAAGACCTTCAAAACATTTGAATTAACAAATTAAATCACACAAAAACGCAAAAATAAAATTGACCACTAATGCACTTGACAGTGGCAGCATGTTTGGCAACAACGCACTGTCCTCCGGTTAGCGGTAATTGCAGCCGTGACAGCGGTTAAAGGCAAAGGTCCTCCTACGACTCCCAATCATTTATCTCTCCATTACAGAGAGCACTCTGGGATTTTAGTAGTGTAATAAAGTCGATCGCACTTCACCATCACAAAAAGCCTCTTGACCCCCGGGTGCTCTGCAGGCCCTTGACCCGCGCCAAACGTATTCATCATCATCACATCTCTTTCTCTGTCCCGCACGCTGCATGCTAACCGGCGGGCACACGAGCACAGGTGTTTGCTTCTCACTTACTTACTGTTCGATAGGAGCAATGGGATCATTTAACCAAGGGGCAGGTGTTTATAGTGTGGACGTGTACTTATCTGCACAGACTTAAACAAATAAAAACCAAAAAAATAGTAAATACATGTTAATGTTTTATATGATAAATATCTATTAAATCCCACTTACTTCTTGCCCAAAACAAATAAACGTCTGTTTGCGTGACAGTAAATCTAATCCATGTACGCCCTCTTGTGGTTGAAGGACTCACATGTTGAGGGCCTTTTATTTCAGAAACCTACCTGGTCTCTGTCCAGAGACGCCAGTGTTTTATAATATTCCCACAAGATGTGTCTGTTGAAAAAATTCAACAACGACAGATGCTCTCAGATAAAAATATGTCTGGATTATATGAAACATTTCCAGAGGCATGAAGAATCCAAAGACTGTATAATCTATAAAAAGGATTTGGTACTTTGGGAACATATTTTTAAACAAAAGTAAGTCATATCATGGCAGAGACACTGAGGAAACAACTTACAGAGTAAAGAAATCTTTCATGAGTTCCACTGCACTACACACACACACACACACAGGCACACACAGTGTTGCTGCTGTCTTTGAATCACCTTTGAACAAGACGTCAGCTCTCTCAAAGGCAGTTTAAACTGAGTAGACGGGAGTCCAGGGTTCTACATACATAATCTAATAGTGAACATGTGATACTGTGTCAAAATGTATTTATTTGTACATATTTGTACAATTTGTATTATTTGTACATTTTTGAACTGTATTCTACATGTTTGTGATGCATGTCCTAATAGAATTTAGAGCATCACAGATAATGCTTTGTGACTATGGCTTCTTTATCAAACAGAATAGGTACATTTCAGTGTTAATGTTAATTGCATCAGGTGAAAAGCTGACATCACATCCTTGCGCCGCAAATAAATGTGTGTGTTGTTGGCTGCGTATACGCGCGGAGTCTGTTTCTCTGATTCAGTCGGGGGGCAGTAGTGACGTAGAGCATCACACACCCCCTTTAAAATGAAAATGTGTCATTGGCACATCCGCCACACTCGTGCAGTTCTTTCCTCAGAAGGTGGACATATCAAGAACTAAGCAGGTGAGGAAAAATATTTCAGATATCACCATTTTCAATGACCTTAACTTATTGTAGTTCTGAAAAGTGTGTTCAGTTTCCTTTATTGTGGTTTTGTTTCATATAAATTATATTTCGTATTCTTGCAGCCAAAGAAAAAAAGGTCAGACTCAACTACAAAGTCATCACATTGCATCAAAAGAAAAGAACCATGTGGGTGTTTGAGAAGCTCAGTCAGAGCATGGAGACCATCCCTCTGGAGCTGCGTCATTACCTGAGGAGGAATGAGAAGGACGTCTCTCTTCCTTCTAAAGGCAGCCTCTCTCACCATCTGCACAGTAACGTCCTCACCCCAGACACCATCCCAGAGTTCTGCTTGCCTCCCAGGCTTCGCAAGAGAAGCCCGCCGCTGGAAGCTGAGGCAGCGTCACCTCATCTGCACCGTCGGTTACAGATGCCCAGCAGCAGCACACGTGCAAAGACAAAAGATGCAAAGGGGAAGGACGGCGACGCGTCCGTGGCTTGGAAAGCTACGAAAAAACCTTTGCCGTTCTGTGCAGAGGGGTATGGCCTGGCCGGGGTACACGAGAGCCCCAACACGCGAAGGAAAGAGTCTCTGTTCCACTCAAAGTGCCCGATTTATACTTTTGATAGAAGCCTTCCTACTCCCTTACCGAGGCCAGCAAAGGCAACAAACCTGCCCAAGAAAACTTCCTCTGGGGTTTTCCCTCTTTTTCCATTCAAGAGCGTGTCAGAGACAGAAAGCACAGGAAGGGAAACACCTTCTTCCACGGAATCCTCTCCCCTCAGCTCTGCTTATACTGCTAAATCCTCCCTGTACTTCCCCCCAGGCAGCAGACGACTCAAAGGAGCAATGTCCTGTCCTTCACTGAATGACAGGAGGCTGGACAGAGGGAAGTGGGAGACGGTCGGGTTAAGTTTAACAAAGTTGCCTGGTAGCTTTCCAACCTTAAAAGGAAGTTCAGCCACCTTAGCCCCACCTGTCCTCGTCGTCCCGTTGGATGTTGTGAAGTGCCAGGAGGCACATCGGCATGAGCATGTACTTCCTTTGCAGGGCCGTGGTAAGGTGCGCCTGTTCGCTGAGCAGAGCACCTTCTCCGCCAATACGTCCCCGTTCCTTTCCACAGTCAGAGTCTTTGTGGGTTCTGTGGAAGGTCTATGGAACGAGACGGAGCGACAACACCTGAACTGCGCAGTAAATCTGAGCCTGACCCCGGGGAAGCTTCAGCAACAGAAGAGCGCCACCATCAGTAACTGCCGACGGCCAGTGTTCAATGAAGATTTCTTCTTTACAGAGCTCAGTGGGGAGGATCTGCTGGAACTGCAGCTCAGGTTAAAAGTGGTGTATAAACCTGCAGCTGGCTCACTGAGGAGAGGGACAGTGATTGGAATGACAACCGAACCACTGTTTCAGTTACTACACAAAACTCATTGTGTAGTCTGACGGGAAGACGGCACATAATATGTAACTAGTATAAAGTGTATAAAATAAAAAGTTTGTATGGAGGGACATTCATGTATTTTGCGTGGCCATATGAGCATTGTGTTTTTTGCAGCATGTTCTTATTATGCTTCCTTGTTCTCGGACAAAACATACATATCATAATGTTTGTGATCTTTTTGTCAAAAGTTATTTTATTTGTGGTCTCCCATCTGTAAATAACCTTCATTAGGTACAGATTCTACAAAAAACTAACATAAGGTAACTATTTACACTTTCACTTAACACATGAAAAAGAACATTTAGCAGCTTTCACACTCTCTGTGAACTGTGTCAATGTAGTCAATGTGGTTTCATACCCCAGAGATACCTTAATCGTTATATTGTCGCGTACACAAGCCTAAATCAGTACAGGTTCTGTGTGATTGACAGGGGCTGACAGCCAACGGGAACTGTTGTATTCGTCATGTGTCAATAAAGTTTCACCCCTTTGCATTATTGAGCTCCACGCAGCAGAAGTGATGTCCCACCGCGTTTTATTTTTCCGCAAATATATTTGGACTAGGACTGGATATTCACGCTGGAAACGCTGAACAGCTTATATCTGCTAACAAAGACAGCTTACTATCTACCGTAAAATAGTGGCAAGTACAATCCTTTGGACGGAAGTGGCAACTCTTATGACGTCAGAGCTCCGCCTCCGGAAGAACGTCCTGATCAGACGCAACGTTAGAGGCTAACGAGTCCTCAGGATGTAAACAGTGACAGGTAGATGACAGAAACTGGAAAATGGTCTTCGAAAGCTTGGTGATCGACGTCCTCAACCGATTCATAGGGGACTACGTTGTCAACCTTGACAGCTCACAGCTACAGCTCGGCATATGGAGAGGTAACTGTGTTTCTCATTGTAGGGGATTGGCTCACTCGCCAAGCTAACTAGCTAACGGACGTTAGCCACCAGTAGTGTGAGAGCGGCTACCTTAGCTGTCACTAACAGCTGAGTTAGTGAGTGGTTTTTTTTTTTTAGCGTTAACTAGTCCAACGTTAGCTGTCGAGTGTGAGCAATACACCGCGGCCACATACTAGATTAATTATAGATAAATCGCTGTAGATCAGCGTTGTTGAATCCTGACAGACGGTTCGGGGTTACACCCTCTCGACACAGAGCCAGCGCGCCTCAGGCAGCAGAGCAGGGAGCGGATCAGACTGCTGCTAAACATGTGCCAACGTGTTGCATCCACGTAACTGACGTTCACGTCAAACCCCGAGCACTCGACGGAGAACGTTTGGGAACCGCGACGTGAATCCCGTGGTTTGATCAAACCTGTTACTGCTTTAATAAACCAGGAGCAGCGCTGAGTTGAATCAATACAACATTTCCATCGACCTCCTCTGTGGATTTGTATGTGAGGCTTTGTATGCGGCTTTCATAACACAGCTTTTGCTGATCTGTTTCCCTGCTCAAAATGTTCACCGTAAAGGTTCAGTTAAACAAGTACTCCTGTCATTACAGGCGATGCTGTCCTCAAAAATCTTGAGATAAAGGAAAATGCCTTGGTAAGTTGCAAGTAAATTCTTATGTTGGTCAGCAAACTTCTGCTTGTCATGGCATTCTGGCAATGATGATGGATGATGGATTTGTTTCACTTGGATTTAACGTTCTTCTATTGCAGAGTCAACTCGACATTCCTTTTAAAGTGAGAGCCGGTCACATCGGTGAGGATATAACTGTCCCTATCTGCCATCTACTGTCCTTATTTGCCACTTTTCCTTTGATACGGATTGGTGTTTTGTTTTTTTCCAGGCCAACTGCAGCTAAAGATTCCATGGAAGAACCTCTACAATCAGTCAGTAGAGGCGAAACTGGATGGCGTCTATCTGCTCGTAGTCCCAACAGCAAGTAAGATCCTCATTTGCATCTAGTTAAATAGAATTATGAGATTGAAGTGCTCCTCACCATGAGGTATGTGCTCCTGATTCCCAGATATTTGCATGTTAATGAATTGTATTGTAGTGACATGCTGATTTTATAAATGCAAACCATGCATTTATAAAATCAGCGGTATCACCTTCTGTCCAATGAGTAATTAAGAAAGTCACTTCTTCATGAAAGTAAATGTCAAGACAAACACAAAACTCAAGTTTAACCCTCTTAGGGTTGTGCACACAGTATGTCATGTTGTATTGACCCCGTTCTTTCCAGGTATAAAATATGATGCTGTAAAAGAGGAAAAGCAACTACAGGAGGCTCGTCAGAGAGAGTTACAGCGGATAGAAGAGACAAAGCTGAAGGCTGCAGAGAAAGGTCAGGGTTTATCTTTGATTTTAAACGTACGTCGTAAGTATCAGTTCAACAAGTACACCTGTCATCACAGGCCATGCTGTTCTCTCTTGTGATACCACAAATCTTGTGATATCCACTTGTGTGATCACGGTTGTTCGGGTTAGTTAAGCTACATAACAAAAGGTAATTGCTTCGTGATACAGGCCCCTGGTGTCGTATGTATCATATTGGTCTGTGTTTGACAGAGGACCCCAATCTGGAAAAACAGGACACCTTTGTGGAGAAGCTCGTCACTCAGGTCATCAAAAACCTGCAGGTCAAGATCACTAACATCCACGTACGCTATGAAGACGATGTGAGTATTCTAGCTGAGTTTCCTCAGTGGTGTCTGTATGTACAGTTTTAACTCAATGTATTTCTTTTGTAAAGTAAGCAATACATAAAAACTGCAGGAACAGATATTTCTTTGCATTTTTCGATCCCCCAACAATGACACCATTCACTACGCAGAGTCCATGCACTCAACCAGGCTAGCTCTTATTTTATTTTACTTTTTTTGTTTTCAACAGGTCACTAATCCAAAATGCCCCTTGTCATTTGGAGTGTCACTTAAAAACCTCAGTCTCCAGGTAATGTTTTGCAATGTCCCTTCTGTCAGCATGCTTATGCATGAATTCACATATCAGACTTGAACAGAATTTGTATATAAGAACATTTAATGTGATCTTAATGTGATCTCAAAAACTCTATACCTCACTGCTTTTTGAATTTTTGCAGACATCAGATGAGAACTGGAATCCCAGACTGTTGGATGAGCATTCCAGGCTTTTCTTCAAGGTAACCACTCGATCCATCAGCCACACTTTTTTTTCACAACCCATCATCGTTTGTCATTACTTTTTAAATGCTTTTGGGGCAACTTAAGCCAGTTCATTCATTTTGGCGGCAGTTTTTTAAGAAACCCATTTGATTTAATTATGACCTTTGGCCTGGGGTCAAATCTCTCAAATCTTTATTGCACACTGTTAAGTCACGTTGTAATGGTAAGCATCTGCACTACTCTAAACGCTTTGTGTTTTCTTCCTTGTCTCAGTTGGTACAACTGGAAAACTTGTTTGCCTACTGGAATGTCAACTCTGTACTCTTCTCCAATCACACTGCAGATGAGGCCTTGGTAAGTCTCCCTAATAAGACTTTATTTAACGATTTAAATATTTTATTAATATTTTGCTATTTTCTGTCTTACTGCTTTATTGTGGGATTAGATTCCACCTCTTTATTGTACGCTCACAGACCAACCCTTCAGTTTCAGTACTCACAATATAGAAAGGCCTTTACTCAATTTCTCTGAAATGATCTTGGTAGATATTGGGTATCACAAGTCATCTGCAAATGTTTCTGAGGTCAATACAGATTTCCATGACCATTCATTTCGTCCATAATAACTATTTTTCAAATAAGCCGAAAGTCTTAAATGTTTTTGAATGTGGCATTGATTGTTCACTCCTGTATGTTGTTAAAGCAATAACAAAAATAGTTCAAATATTTGAAGAGGTTTGAAGAAGAAAACGGGCAAAATGTAGATAAAATCCTTCCTTTTTTTTTGTAGCGCTGTCTCCAGAAGAGCATGAAAACCGACAACACTCTTTCTGTCAGCCATGACTTCAGTGAGTCTTTCTGTCCTCCTTATTCACATATTTGATACTTTATATGTAACTTAATGACTGTGTCTAGACTGCCTGATGGAACCCATGTTATCCGTCATTCATGGATCATTAGTTTGCATGTAGAATATGACTTGCACTTTATGTATGTATATTGTGTTTTGCTGTGACGCTGCCGGGCCCGAAAATAATGTGTGAATTAAACAGCTTGATGCACCATCAACAGCTACACATATTTAACATATTTGGTTTTGAGCCACAAGCTCACCGATTTCTTTTTAAGGGCTGACCTTGCGACACAAAACACATTTACAATTTTCAATTCCCAAAAATATAAATGTATGTTTGGCAAATACAAAGTAACATAAAGCCATGTACAGCCCCAGGGTTCATAAAAACATTATTATGCTGCCAAGATGAACTGTTTTAAAACCTTACAGCCAGACTTGGTAGTCTAGCAAGAGTAGGATAACGGTTGGTAACCCCAACACACCATCCTGTGTTAAGCATAGATGCCCAAACACTGACTGTTTTATTTCATGGCGTTTTCATTTATTAATTGTTAGAATTTGTATAATTATTGCAAAATTGTGTTTGAAGAAAACAACCAACCGTAGCTTTAAATAATCCATTTGTTGTTGCTGTTCCGTAGTTTTTCGTCCTATCTCAGCGCGCGCTAAACTGCGGATGAATCCCAGGTCAGATGTGGACTTCTCCTCTCCCAAGGTGGACCTAATGGTCAATCTCAGCGAGGTGGCCATTGAACTCAACAGACCCCAGGTAGGTGTTGTTTCATAAACTTGTTTATTTCAAACCCTGGTTGAAAAAGGGAAAAGAAATAGAGAAGACGCATCATTTAATCAAACATTCTAAAGGAGCGAATAGCAGTTGTTCAGTGATCTTAACTGCACTCACAGCACTACTCTCTGCCAGTCAGTAATTGCCTACTTCCTGTCGTTTCAGTACATTAGCATTCTGGAGCTGCTGGGCTCAGTGGATATGATGTCTCGGAATCTGCCGTACAGGAAGTACAGACCAGAGGTTGCGCTTCACAAGAATGCACGCATTTGGTCAGTAAACACAATTGCATAAGATATTTGTTTGTTTTTTTATCAACATGTCATGTCTTTATACTTCAAATTTCAGAGTGTTGATTTCCCTGCTATTGTGTTCATGCCTTGCAGGTGGAAGTACGTGATCACAGGCGTCCTGGAGGTGGATGTAAAGCCCTGCCTCCACATGTGGTCGTGGAAAAGCATTCGCAGTCACCGGAGAACAGTAAAATGTTATAAGGAGCTCTACAAGACCAAAATCACCAACAAGAAACCCAGCCAGGAGCTGCTCAAGGCGCTAGAGGTGGGCATTTGTTTGCATCGTGGAGTTTTACACTGTTACAGAGCAGTTAGTTGTTGGTTATTAATTGTTACAAAGTTATAACCGTGACTCCATCTTAATACAATTACCACATGTAGCTTTCGAGCGCTTCGAAAAGTAAATGTTGCTGCCTGCCGAACGGCATCAACAGTCGTCACGGCTATGCAGCGGTTTGA